CTTGGGCAGAGGGTAGATATATTTGCTCTTGACTATGATGCTATTCTCACTGCCATGCATGCATTGTCTACTAGTGCTGACCGTGCCTGTTACTTGTGCGTACCGCCTGACCCAGGTATAGAGCCTGCCGCTCCAGGTGCTGGTGAGTCTGCTCTCTCTGGTACTTCGCCTGCTGAGGCCTTGTACACCTTCACACTTGACTCTGGTGCTTCGCGCTCCTTCTTTCGCGACAGCTCCACCCTCACGCCGCTAAATCGGCCGGTTCTAATCTCCCTGGCAGACCCCTCTGGGGGTCCAGTCCGTGCGACCTCCTCCACTGTCCTCCCTTGTCCTGCTGTCCAGTCCGGCACACTGTCGGGTCTTTACCTCCCCTCGTTCTCTACGAGCTTGGTGGCGGGTTCGGCGCTCCAGGACGCGGGTGTTCACCAGTTCACCCCTGCCTACGAGCGTGTGACACACTGCACGTGTGCTCACACGGGTCGTCACATGGCTACTTTCACTCGGCAGCCTGGTTCGGGCCTGTACAAACTGACCACTGAGTCCCCTCAGGTGGCTGCGTCTACGTCCGCGTCAGGTCAGTTGTTGGCCCCCTGCTCGTGTCGCGCCTTGTCGCACCAGACGGTCCTTTGGCACCACTGCCTTGGTCACCCCTCGGTGCAGCGCCTTCACAGCATGCACTGCCGGGTCCTTGTCTCTGGTCTTCCCAGGGTTCTCCCTCCCCTCCCACCCTCACCTGCTCTTCCTTGTCTTCCCTGTGTCGAGGGGCGGCAGCGCGCCGCTCCTCACTCCTCCTCGTTCCCTCCCACAGAGGCTCCCCTACAGACTCTCCACCTGGACGTGTGGGGCCCAGCCCGCGTCCGTGGACAGGGCCACGAGCGGTACTTCCTGCTGGTCGTCAACGATAACACGCGTTACACCACGGTCTTCCCCTTGCGCACCAAGGGTAAGGTCCCTGATGTTTTGATCCCTTGGATCCGCACAGCTCGTCTCCAGCTCAGCGAGCGGTTCGGGACGGAGTTTCCCGTCCTGCATCTGCACTCTGACAGGGGTGGTGAGTTTTTCTCCGACCTCTTGGCAGCCTTCTGTGAGGAGCACGGCATCACCCAGTCGTTCACGCTTCCGGCCTCTCCGCAGTAGAATGGGGTTGCTGAGCGCCGCATTGGCTTAGTCATGGAGGTCGCTCGTACCTCCATGATCCATGCGGCTGCCCCCCATGTTCTGTGGCCGTTTGCTATCCGGTACGCCGCGCATCAGCTCAACCTCTGGCCCTGTAACTCCTTGCCGGAGACCTCGCCCACACTGCTGTGGACGGGGAAGGTTGGCGATGCGTCGCGTTTCCGGATCTGGGGTGCTCGTGCCTTTGTTCGCGATACCACCGCGGACAAGCTCTCCGCCCGCGCTGTTCCCTGTGTCTTCCTTGGCTTTGTCCCTGACGCACTTGGTTGACAGTTTTACCACCCCACCTCGCGCCGTGTCTTCCCCTCTCAAGACGTCACGTTCGACGAGTCGGTTCCCTTTTACCGTCTCTTCCCCTACCGCACCGCCCCTCTCCCCCCCCCGCCGCTCTTCCTCGCTCCAGGTGCTCCCCAGGTAGACCCCCTCCCCACTCCCGGTCCTGCTCCTTCAGGTGTGTCTCAGGTAGACCCTCCTCCCTTTACTACGCCGGTTGAGGTAACTGGTGACTCAGGTTCTGCTGAGGGTGGTCCTGCTCGGGGTGCTACTTCTGGGGGTGCTGAGCCCTGGGGTGCTGAGCCTGGGGGTGCGGAGCCTAGGGGTGCTGAGCCTGGAGGTGCGGAGCCTGGGGGTGCAGGGTCTGGAGGTTCTGGAGCTGCTGAAGGTGCTGGAGCTGGAGGTTCTGGAGCTGTTGAGGGTACTAGCGCTGGAGGTTCTGGAGCTGCTGCGGGTACTGGCGCTGGAGGTTGTGGAGCTGCTACGGGTGCTGGCGCTGAGGGTTCTGAGTCTGCTGTTGCGTGGTCTCCCTGGAGTAGCCGCCTTCGTCCGCGTGTGCCTTTCACCTTACAGCAGCTGCACGACTGGTATGGTCGCCGTCAGGGTCGCGCTTCTGAAGCTCGAGGCTCTGTCGCTGGAGGTATTTTTGCTGTTGTCACTAGAGCAGGGAGTGGTGCTGGTCCCGGAGGTGCTCGTACTGGAGGTACTGGAGCTGCTGGGGCTGGAGGTGCTGCTGAGTCTGAGGGTGCTGGTGCTGGAGACCCTGGGTCTGGGGGTTCTGCTGCTGGAGACACTGAGGCTGGAGACCCTGGGACTGGAGGTGCTGGTTCTGGGGGTGCTACTGCTGGTGGAGTTGGTCCTGGAGGAGCTGGCGCTGAGGGTTCTGGAGTTGCTGGAGGTGCTGGAGCTGGTGGGGGTGCTGGAGCTACTCGTGCTGGTGGCACTACACAGCCGCGCCTGTTCTTCGCTCCACCGTCTACGTCGTCTCAGCCACCGCCTGACTTTGTGCTTCGTCAGGTTCTTAGTCTCCCTTCGTCTACTAGTCTTCCGTTACAGCCTGGCTCACCGCTGCCTGCTCCTTCTCCTTACACTGAGCACACAGGGGGTTTTACTGAGCGTCGTGAGCCTGCGTCACGTCCTGTCTCGCCTGTCCATTCTCGTAGCTCCGGTCAACGTGTTCCTCGTTCGCGTAAGCCGGCTCTCCCCGGCACCCACCTCGTAGTTCGTCGTCCTTCCTCTCCTCCGCAGCGTGTTCCTCTTCCGTCCCCTCCTGCGTCTTCTCTGCCTACCGTTCCTAAGCCTAAGTCTGACCGCACCCGTACTGCTCACTCTACTGTCATGCGTCTGCTAGCCACAATTGTCACTGACCCGTCGTTTGAGTCTGCTGCTGCGTCTGCCTTTGTTGCTGAGCTTGTTGACTTTGCTGCAGCCTGTCGTCTAGACTACGCCGCTAGTCTTGTTGCTGAGTCTGAGTCTGTCTGTCCTCCGTTCGTCGGGGGTGAGTGTGCTCTTGGCACGGACGTCCTTGAGGACAGGCAGGAGGACTTTGAGTGTCTTGCAGCCGCTGCGCCTCATCTCGTGTCCATGCTGCTTGCCCCTGAGGGAGACCCGTATGCTCCAGACATCCCGACCCCGCGCTCTTACGCTGAGGCGATCGTGGGTGAGTACTCTTCTCATAGGCAGACAGCCATGGACGCAGAGATGGCATCCTGGAAGTCCACAGGCACTTACGTTGACGAGGTTCCCCCTTCTAGGGCGAACATCGTCAGTGGCATGTGGATTTTCAGGGTGAAGCAGCCGCCAGGTTCTCCGTCTGTCTTCAAGGCTCGTTACGTTGCTCGAGGCTTCTATCAGGGAGAGGGAGTAGACTTCTTTCATACCTTCTCCCCCACCCCGAAGATGACCACTGTTCGGGTGCTGCTGCACGTCGCCGCTCAGCGTGACTACGAGCTTCACTCTCTTGACTTCATCATAGCTTTCTTGCAGGGCAGCCTGCACGAGGAGATCTGGCTGCACCGCCCTCTTGGCTTCACTGGGTCGTTCCCTCCTGGTACCCAATGGAGCCTCCGGCGGCCACTCTACGGTCTCCGCCAGGCACCACGTGAGTGGCACGACACACTGAGGACTACACTTGCGGCTCTTGGGTTTGCACCGTCGACTGCTGACCCGTCGCTGTTTCTGCGCACCGACACGTCGCTGCCGCCGTTCTACATCTTCGTGTACGTCGACGACTTGGTCTTTGCCACTGCTGACACTGAGGCTCTCGCCCACGTGAAGTCGGAGCTGCAGAAGAGACACACGTGCAGAGACCTGGGTGAACTGCGCAGCTACCTTGGCTTGCAGATCACCCGGGACAGAGCACGCCGCACCATCACACTGACTCAGTCACACATGGTGCAGCAGGTCCTTCAGCGCTTCGGCTTCACCTGGTCCTCGCCACAGTCCACTCCTCTGGCTACCGGTCACTCGCTCTCAGCTCCACCTTCGGACGAGTCCGTAGAGCCGAGTGGCCCGTACCCAGAGCTAGTGGGCTGCCTCATGTACCTGATGACCTGCACTCGTCCTGACCTTGCGTACCCTCTTGGCCTTCTGGCTCGCTATGTGGCTCCTGGTCGGCACCAAAAGGTGCACATGGATGTTGTGAAGAGGGTACTGCACTACTTGTGCGGTACATCGGGCATGGGGCTCGTGCTTGGAGGGCGGAGCGCAGTTGTCCTCACTGGGCACTCAGACGCTTCTTGGGTTGACGACCAGGCTACGCAGCGGTCGTCACAGGGTTACACCTTCAGCCTTGGCTCTGGTTCAGTTTCTTGGCGTTCTACACGCTCGTCTTCTGTTCTCAGCTCCAGTTGTGAGGCTCAGATCTACGCCACAGCCATGGCTGCACAGGAGTTACGCTGGCTCACCTACCTGCTGACCGACCTGGGAGAGCGGCCTCGTTCTCCTCCAGTGCTGTACGTTGACAACAAGACCGCCATTGCCTTGTGTCAGGAGCACAGACTGGAGCACAGAACGAAGCACATCGCTCTGTGTTACTTCCTGGCTCGAGAGTTGCAGCAGCGTGGTCAGCTTCGTTTTGCTCACGTGGCCACTCGGGCCAACACTGCTGATATATTCACCGAGGCACTTCCGTCTGGTGATCATCAGCGTTTTTGCACTTTGTTAGGCCTTGTGCCCACTTTTCCTTACTTGGTGTAGTCTTTGTTTGTACTGTGATCTATATATATATATATACCTGCATGCTTGCTCTTGCTAGGTAGAGATCACTGTACTGTTCTTGTTGTTTATATACCTCTGCATATGGATTGGCCTTGTGGCCGTTTTCTTGTGCTCAGTGTGTGTGGTGACGTTGTGATCCACCCTGAGCTGTGTTTTGTTTCTTCTCTTGACTGGTCTTGTGACTATTGCTTGCTCTGGCGATCCCCCATTTCGCCTATGGGGGTGTGTCAAAATATATGCATGTTATTGTCTAGGCTATATTGGGGCTAGCTTAGGGGGTACAGAAAACTTCTCGACACCCTAGTCTTGTACCCCAACTTTCACCCAATGCATCATCCTTGCCTAAGATTCTGACAAGTCAGCCCCGCCATAAGATTTTCGGGCAGGCATAGCAGACTCTCGCATTTGAGCGAGAGGGATTTCAGCCCGGTTAGCTGTTGCAAGGATTCCGGAATGCTCTCTAGACCATCCACTTTAATTTCGAGGGTTTCCAGCAGACCCAAGTCGTCGATCGCGTTAGGAAGCTCCGTGATAGTTTCTGGAAAGAGTTCACCGCTAGTAATGCACAGCGTGCAAAGGGTACCACGCAAAAGGCCCACGCTCGGATCGAGTCCGAGACCGCGGAAACTCGGTCCCACGCCGATTCCCAACTCCCGCAGCAGCTGCAGCGCGCCGATGCTCTCGGGCAACGAAACGAGCTCCTGTAACGAGTCGTGGCCATAACGAGTATGCGAGCACACGTAGAGGGTTTGGAAATCTGTGAGGAGCGAGAGGGACGCCGGGAGATGCGGGAGGCCATTGGTGGTGAGTAGGCCGTTGGTGGTGGCCGTTGGTGGTGAATCTCTGAGCTTGCGGCATCCATGGAAGAGGGACGCGAGGCCGTCTACGGTAACCGACATTTCAAACTGGTGCTCCACCGTCAGATGCAACAGACGCGGACATGTGGCGGCCAGACAGTGAAAGAGCGCGTCGCCGTCGGCGGATAAGATGGAAAAACAGCCCAGCGACACGTGCGTGAGGGCGGGGAAGCGGCGCAGCGCGGAAAGAAGGCTCGGAAGCGGAAGCCACGCAAGCTCCGCGTTGCGGTCGACCTCAAAGGGATGTGTCTCAATCATAGAATCATTCGAAAACCCGCGATGCTGAACGGTTATGTGGGAGAGCGCGGACGTGGCGAGGAGGAGCCAGCGTTTCGACATGAGCTCGGCGTGGCGGAAGGAGGTCTGGCGGAGGACGAGCGCGAGAACGTCGTCGGGGAGGCGCTCCAGGGGGAAGGGCGGCTCGGAGTGTGCGGGCGAAACCATGGCTTTGCAGCGGCGAAGGAAAGAGACTAAGGTCACGGTTCTGGGCGAAGCTTGGACACCATCAACCAAAATTTTCCCTCACTGACGTGTAAACACACCCGATCATTGGTTACTACACAAGTTGCGAGAAATATTGGAGGGTGGCAGCCAATCAGACGTGTTCATTGCTACCAAAGTGTCCACACTTCAGATGGTTTCCACACTTCAGATGGTGTCCAGACTTCAGAACCGTGATCTAACGCAATTGCGTGGAATATTGAAGAGGGCGAAAATACTGGAACGCGAGAAGCTTTGCTCTAGTCTAAACACTATTACAATTGATGCCTGTTTGATCCCCTCCCGGTTGCCTTGTGAAGGGGGCGTATTAGCTGTATCGTGCATTTCGCATAAGTTTCGTCAATTCGCAGCTAGCTAAAAAGGATTCGCAGGTGCTTATATTAAGTATCTGTAACCTTATCCGTTGACATTTCGACTTCCGTCTCTTCAGTTTGACTTCGCTCCGCTCGTTAATATTAGTCCATAACCACGCGACGCGCTTGTATTATGGGTGCAACAGGCTGGGGAAAAGACCTGGGGTGCAGCGTTTCCATCCGGGCCAGGGCAAATCCGCGTGCACTGGTTGGGCATCATGTGTAGCTCGACGCAAAAAGTCGGTGGGTTGGTTGGCGGGAAGAGTGAAATGACGTGACTGTCGGTAAAGTCAATCACCCGAGACCCTGCCCCGAACCATTGACAGCAGAGCTTTGACTTCAAGTCAACCCTGTGACTCTCTACAAGACCACCCATTTAAAGCAAGATTCGAGTGTTCCGAGTGTTTCCTGAACAAGTGAAGGCATTATTTGAGAAACGAATCTCCCTGAGACATGGCTGGCGTACTGGCCTTAGCTGCTTGTCGGCTTGTGATAAGAATGGCACACTACATGAGGCGACAGCAGCAATCACGACAAAACTGGCAAAGCCGGAAACATATATTTTTTCTTAGTGAATGCTTGAGATATGACAGTGCTAACTCTGACTTTGTCATCGATGTGCGGCGGGCAGACTTTCCTCAGCAACTATGGAAACCATTGTGAAAAATGGAAAGAAAGCCTTGTGCACAATCACTTGCGGGCTACTTTCCCTCCACGAGCCCGCTTTAGTGCTGTGACAGCATCTGCTTGCTTCGACCCCACCACTCCCGCCATCCTCCCTGCCCCACCTCCCCCTCCCCCTGCTCCCCCTCCCCATCCCCTTCCCCCTCCCCCACCACTCCCCCTTCCAGGTGACTGGCCTCCTCTTCCCCCACCCCTGCTCATTCCCCTGCCTCCTCTCCCTCCCATTCCCCCACCACCCCTCCCCCTCCCTCCTCCCCCACCTCCCCTCTGCTGCTGCCATGCCCCTCCCCTTCCCCCTCCTCTCCCCCCACCACTCCAACCCCCCCTTCCCCCGTGCCTACCCCCTCGCTCCCCCCCTCCCTGCGTCTGCCCTGCCCCCCACTGCTTCCCCGCTCTAGCAGTTGCCAAGGAAACAAAGGGATTGGCGAGGTGCTGGGAGTTCCCAGGGGTGGCTGCTGCTGCTGACGTGGCGGCAGCGGATGGGGTTGCTTGCAGCTGATTGGCCAGCTCGGTTGTCATGCCGGACTGACGTGTGATTGGAGAGAGGAGGGGCGGGGGGGGGGGGGGACGACAAGGTTGAAACCAGAAGGCAGAGGAGGAGAGGATAACAGCAGAAAGGAGAGAAGGAGAGGAGGAGAGGAAGGATTGGTGAAGGGTGGTGGTCCAGTGTATATGGTGCAAGGGTTGTTCAAGGGTGAAAAGGTTTGTCAAAGGGTGGAAAGGTTTGCTCAAGGGTGGAAAGTGATATTAAAATCTTCCAGCAGAGGTGAGAGACTCACAGTACAGGCATGAAACCTCAAGAAAGGGAAACAACGTAGGAGGAAAGGGAAGAGAAGAATGACTCACCGCGGAGATGAGTGAGCGCAGGTTGGTGGGCCTGAGGGGCTGCGAGACTGCTTGCTTCAGCGCCTGGAGTAACAAATTCAAAGAGAGAAGGGCACGACAATTGATGGACAGATGAACGAATGGGAGAGGAGAAGGAGAGGGAGATGAGGGGAGTGGCACCGGAGTGAGATGAATGAGTACAGGTTGGTGGGTCTGAGGGGAGGGGCCTAGAAACTGCTTACTTCAGAACGTGCCAGCCCCTGTACAGGTTCTGAAGTAACCTCTTCTAGAACGTTACTTCAGAATGTGCCAGCCCCTGTACAGGTTCTGAAGTAACCTCTTCTAGAACGTGCCAGCCCCTGTACAGGTTCTGAAGTAACCTCTTCTAGAACGTTACTTCCGAACGTGCCAGCCCCTGCCCCTCACCTCTTTCATCCTCGGCAGTTCAATCGTCTCTTGCTCCATCTGCTGTCTTCCGTCCTTCCCTGACTCCCCCTAAGAGCACCCACAGAACTCACCCTGCTAGATTTTGGGCAAATGTGGTCAATCCCTACCCACATCACCCTCTCATTTCCTCACCTCTTTCATCCTCGGCAGTTCAATCGTCTCTTGCTTCATCTGCTGCCGCCCATGCTCCCCTGTCTCCCCATTACCCGCCTGCCTCTCTCTAACGGCACCCACAGAATTTACCCTGCTAAATTCTGGGCAAACTGGCTGAATCCCTACCCACATCCTCCCCTGTCAGTCGCTCACCTCTTTCATCCTCTGCAGCTCTATTGTCTCCTGCTTCATCTGCTGTCGCCCGTCCTCCCCTGTTTCCCCCGGCCCCTCCCACCCGCGCTTCTCCCCTCGCCCCACCAACCGCCTCACATCCACCCCTCGATCCACATCCCCTTCCTCCTCCTCCTCCCCGCCCCGTGCCCCTCCCCGCCTCCTCTTCCTCCTCCGCTCCTCCTCTTCCCGCTGCTGCTGCTTCTTGTTCTTCTTCCCTCGCCCTCCCCTCTCCCCCTCGTCGTCACTCTCCCCTCCTGCCTCGTCAAAATCATCAAAATCCTCTTCCTCACTCTCCTCCTCCTCTTCCCCTTCTCCGCCCTCTTCCTCCTCCTCCTCTTCCCCCCCTTCCTCCGGATTCAATTGAACCGCCTTGGAAGCCCGCTGCTTCCAGGAAGTTTCAGCTTTCTCCTTGGAGTGCTTGCGAGAGAGAGTGTCGACACTTAAAGCCAGGCTCACGCATTGCTTGAGGTTGGGCAGGTAGTTATGATCGACTGGGAATGTGGGGAGCGGACCAGTCTGTGGAGGGGAGAGAGAGAGAAGAGGGTAAGGTAGAAAGGGCGCCAACACTTAAAGCCAGGCTGACGCATTGCTTGAGATTTGGGAGGTAGTTATGGTGGACCGGAAAGGTGGGGAGAGGACTCCTCTGTGGGGGGGAGGGAGAGAGAGAGAGAGAGAGAGAGAGAGAGAGAGAGAGAGAGAGAGAGAGAGAGAGAGAGAGAGAGAGAGAGAGAGAGAGAGAGAGAGAGAGAAGAGAGAGAGAGAGAGAGAGAGAGAGAAGAGAGAGAGAGAGAGAGAGAAGAGAGAGAGAGAGAGAGAAGAGAGAGAGAGAGAGAGAGAGAGAGAGAGAGAGAGAGAGAGAGAGAGAGAGAGAGAGAGAGAGAGAGAGAGAGGGATGGGAACGAGGGTCATGAACGAGGCAAGGCGGATGCGCCCCAACCCCCTCTCTGGCCATGCCCAGAGAATGCAGTCGGTGCTCGGCCCTGGTGCGGGAGATTGGCTGCTGGCACTACCCATCATACCCTCGCTTAGGATGGGACCCTCCCAGCTCTCCTCCGCTGCTGCGTTCCGCCTGGGCCTCCCCCTACCTGTCCCCAGGCGCTGCGACTGCCGCTACCGCACCAAATTCCCTGATGACCGCCCCCAAACCATCTCATGCACTGCGAGAAAGGGGGGGGAAGGATTGCGACTCACCATGCGCTCAGGGACGAGATTGCTTTGATTGCGGCAGAGGCGGGATTCACGGTGCACAAAGAAACCTATGTATTCTCTCTCGTTGAAAACTTGAAGGCGGACGTCGCAATCCGCCATCCCCGGACGGGAGAGGTTTGGATGTGCGACGTGACAGTGACGGACCCCGTCTCTCACCAAGATGAGAACTGCAATAGAGCACCGGGGTGGGCGGCTAGGGCAGCTGCGGACAAGAAGGAGCAGAAATACGCGCGCCGAAATGCGTGGGTGGGCTTTCATGCCCTAGCGGTAGAGACATATGGGTACCCCTCGCCCGGGGTGTTGGCATTCTTGCGGCAGTGCGCGGAGCTGGCGGCCAAGTTGCGATTCAACGCAGCCCCCAACTCCTACGAGGCCGCCAAGCTGCTGACGGAATACCGCCAGCGCTGGAGCGTGTGCCTCCAAAAAGCACAAGCCAACGCCCTCCGCTGCAAGACCAACGAGGCGATAGCAAAGGACGAGCTCGGCATGCGGGGCCCCTTTGCCCCCCTTAGCGAAGGCCAGCTCTACCAGCTAATAGAGCCCTCGTTCGACCTTTAGGGTCGGACGGAGGGGGCGGGAGGGAGTAAGGGAATGAGGTAGTTAGGTTGACCGAGTGTTATGTCTGGGTTTGCATGTGTTTGCATCTTCCCATGTATCTCCCATCAATCAATACCAGGACCATTCGAGAGGGATGGGAAACAAAATCAGAGGAAAAAGTTGAGGAGAGAGTGTCCTCACTCAAAGCCAGGCTGACGCATTGCTTGAGGTTGGTCCGCGCGCGCGCCTTGGTCCACGGAGCACCCTCTGATGCATTGGCTCTGGCAGTGCGTGCACAGGAAACTGGGGACGTACCCAACCCACACCACAAGGCTCACGACTCTATTCTCTCCCATCATCCTCCAAGCTGGATACTCACCTTGTTGAGCTGAGCTTCCTAAGCAGCGACGAGTATTTGATGGAGTCTTTTGGCGTCACCAGAGCCACGGAGCACCCCTCAGAATAAGCGCCTCTAGCCATGCGGCCGCAGTACTTTTACTGCAAGCACCAACTGCAGTCCCTAGAGCCCACCTTATTCAGCTTCCTCAGCAGCGAGGAGTATTCGATGGAGTCCTTGGGCGTCACCAGAGCCACGGAGCACCCCTCTGATGCAGCTCCTCAATACATAGTCCATCCACAAGCACGTGTGGACGCACCTCATTCAGCTTCCTCAGCAGCGAGGAGTATTCGATGGAGTCCTTGGGCGTCACCAGAGCCACGGAGCACCCCTCAAAGACAGGGCTATACATAGCCCAGAAGCAGTGTGCTGCCACATCAACTCAGCCCTCACCTTATTCAGCTTTCGAAGCAATGACGAGTATTCGATGGAGTCCTTGGGCGTCACCAGAGCAACGGAGCACCCCTCTGAGGACAAGAGCACACATTGACAAGAGTTGCTCTCTTGACGCACCCAGAAACAGCAACTCGGCCCGCACCTTGTTCAGCTTCCTAAGCAATGAAGAGTATTTGATGGAGTCCTTGGGCGTCACCAGAGCAACGGAGCACCCCTCAGAGGCAGTGCGACCACAGGGAGCTCGAAAGCTACCCTCTTGAACAACAGCTCACCTTGTTGAGTTTTCGCAGCAGCGACGAGTATATAATCGAGTCCTTGGGCGTCACCAGCGCCACGGAGCACCCCTCAGAAGACGTGTGACCAAGGGAGATGCGCGACTTACCCTCTTGAACCACTCACCTTGTTGAGTTTCCGCAGCAGCGAGGAGTATTTGATGGAGTCCTTGGGCGTCACCAGCGCCACGGAGCACCCCTCAGAGGCGGCTCCTCTAGCAGTGCGGCCGCATCGATGCACGTAGCCCTCTGCTGTGTGCGGTAGCTGATAGTGCACCACCAGACGCACCTGGAGGAGGGGATTGGAATGGGCAGAACAGAGCAAGGAGTGAGCATTGGAAGTGCACAGGGATTGTTGTTGTTGCTCTCTGGCGGTGCGGCTAGCAGCGGTGCACGAAGCCCTCTGCCGTGTGTGGTAGCAGATAGTGCACCACACCACCAGACGCACCTGGAGGGGGATAACAGGAGACATGGCACCGGATGGGCAATGGCACCAGCAGCAGTCAGTCAATTTGAGAAGCTGCGTTTCATCTCTGGCTGTGCAGTGCAGCCTCTTGACTTGAGGCACTGAGCATCAAGTCACCTTGACTCATATTCGAAGGGCTGCAGTAGTAGGAAAAAAAAACATGAGTCAAGGTAAGGTCTGTTTTTTTTTTTTTTTTCTACTACTGCAGGCAGCCCTTCGAATATGAGTCAAGGTAAGCTGTGTGCAGCCTCTTGAATTGAGGCACAGAGCATCAAGCCTCTGCTGGCTTGACTAGGGTACCGGCGAGGGCGAGAAGGAAGCAGAAACAGCAGCTCACCTCGGGAACGTCGAGACCTCTGGCTGGCTGCCACGTCAGTCGCAACCATCAAGCCGCTGGGGTGATGCCTGAAACGGTCCAACTCCTTGAGATGCTGCGAGTGTGCCTGCTGTATCAGAGAGCACGGCACTTGGCTTCTCACAGAGACGTACCTCGGGAACGTCCAGCCCTCTGGCCGCCACATCAGTGGCCACGAGCACACAGCTGGGGTTCTGCCGAAAACGATCCAACGCCTTTTGAGGCGGTGAGAATAAATATAGACTCTATGATTATTTATTCTCCAACACCTCTATGATGCTGGCAGAGGTGATAAGTGAAGCAACAGCAGCTCACCTCGGGAACGTCCAGCCCTCTGGCTGCCACATCAGTCGCTACCAGCACGCCGCTAGGGTGCTGCCGAAAGCGATCCAACGCCTTGAGACGCTGCCGCTGCTGCTGCTGTGCGTGCAGGGGGAAGGACGGCACCTGTGGGGGCAGCAGGGAACGGGCAGGAGTAAGCAGATAGAAGGAATGCGAAATTTACATGAGAAATGGGAGGAGAAGGGTGGGAGAAGGGTGGCGGGAAAGAAGGGGGGAATTTTGCAGGTGTAGATAGAAGGGGTGGACGTAAAAGGGGCGGGCGGAGAACAGAAGGGTTGCTTACTTGCAGAAGCGAGAGCAGGGAGGCAAGGCGGCGGACAGAGGAAATGGCGGAGCAGAAGACGAGCGTGCGACCAAAGGTGCCGTGCATGCGCAGGAGGTAGAGGAGGAATACGTCCCTCATGCTGTCGTCACACCTGGGGACAAGGAAGGGGAGGAGAGTTAAAGAGAAGAGGGGTGTATGGGGTGAGGACACACAAAAAGGGACAGAAGGCAAAGGTGCCATGCATTCACAGGAGGTAGAGGAGAATGACGTCCCTCATATGTTTTTCAAGAATTCTAAAAAAACATAGGAGGTAGAGGAGACTTTTGAGTCGACTCAAAAGTCACCTCATAGGAGGTAGAGGAGAATGACATCCCTCATGCTGTCGTCACACCTGCACGCGAGGGAGGCAGAAAGGAGGACATGTGGGTTATGGGGATATGGGATGTGGTTAACAAGCGTGCGACGTGCCATGAATTCACAAGAGGTAGAGGAGAATGACGTCCCTCATGCTGTCGTCACACCTGCAGGGCGGGCAGGGCAAAACTCAACAGTGGAAGGACGCATAAAAGACTGTGCCACCACCACTCTACACCCCTCTAGACCACATCACACAAGCACTGATCCGGTTACTCACACTCTTATGCCACTTCCTGCATGCCGAGCAATTGTCTCCGGCACAGGCGCATGCCAGTCAGCCGCATAAGAGCCACTGTCACCACTCTACACCCCTCGAGACCACTCTACTCACCGTAACAGCACCACCCCTTGCAGTGACCTAGACAACTCACTCTAGAGCAGCCTCCTGCGCGCCACTGGGCAGCACATCAGCCGCGGTCAAATCCACAATGGCAGGGGACGGCCGCATGCCAGTCAGCTCCATAAGTGCCGCCACCACCCTACACCTTTCTAGAGTGTAGACCACAGCACAGCACAGCACAGCACAGCACACACTGATTCGATTGCTCTCACTCTAGAGCAGCCTCTTGAACTCCACTGGCCACCACATCAGCCGTGGTGAGATCAACAATGGCAGGGGACGGCCACATGCCAGTCAGCTCCATTAGTGCCGGCACCACCCTACACCTTTATAGAGTGTAGACCACAGCACAGCACAGCACACAGACACACTGATTCGATTGCACTCACTCCAGTGCAGCTTCTTGAACCCCACTGGCCACCACGTCAGCAGTGGTCAAATCCACAATGGCAGGGGACGGGCGCATGCCAGTCAGCTCCATTAGTGCCGGCACCACCCTACACCTTTATAGAGTGTAGACCACAGCACAGCACAGCACACAGACACACTGATTCGATTGCACTCACTCCAGTGCAGCTTCTTGAACCCCACTGGCCACCACGTCAGCAGTGGTCAAATCCACAATGGCAGGGGACGGGCGCATGCCAGTCAGCTCCATTAGTGCCGGCACCACCCTACACCTTTATAGAGTGTAGACCACAGCACAGCACAGCACACAGACACACTGATTCGATTGCACTCACTCCAGTGCAGCTTCTTGAACCCCACTGGCCACCACGTCAGCAGTGGTCAAATCCACAATGGCAGGGGACGGGCGCATGCCAGTCAGCTCCATTAGTGCCGGCACCACCCTATCCCTCTAGACCACAGCACACACGCACAGATCAGTGACTTTTGAGTCGACTTAAAAGCCACCACTCTAGACCATAGCAAACAAGCAGAAATCAGTTCACACTCACTCTAAAGCCGCTTCCTGCACGCCACTCGCCACCACATCAGCAGTGGTGAGATCCACAATGGCAGGGGACGGCCGCATGCCAGTCAACTCCATCAGAGCCGCCACCACCCTATCCCTCTCCAACCCCTTCTCCCTCTCCTTCTCCCCCTCATCCTCCCCCTCTCCCTCTCCCCCGTGCGCTCCCTTCCTCTCTCGCTTCCTCCCGGTCCGTCTATCTTCTGCCCCGGGTCCTGGCGTTCGTTTTTTTCCTTGCAGCTGCCCGCGCGTGTCGTCGGGCAGAACGAGAGTTGCGGAGAAGACTAGGACTTGCCGCTTCTTTTTCGCGAGGGTGGGTGGCTGAAGAGCAAACGAATCCTCTCCTCCCCCTTCTCCTTCTCCTTCTCCTTCTCCTGCTTCTCCCTCTTCTCCCACTTCTCCCTCCTCCCCATCCTCCCTACCTTCTTCTCCTTCTTCTCCTCCCCCCTCCCCTTTAGTCTCCTCCTCTTTCTCCTCCTTTCCCTCCTCCTCTTCCTCTCCATTCCCTTCATTTTCAGCCTTTTCTGTCCCCGCTTTCCTCTTTCCTTTCTTTCCTCTCGCCGCATCCCTCTCCTCGGCAATTTTAGCTGCCCGAGCTGCCTTTTTGGCTGCCCGAGCAGCATCTCGGGCTGCCAGAGCCGCCTCCTTGGCCTTGGCAGCAGCGAGAGAAGCAGCCGTGGGGGGCAGCATTCCCAAAATGGACGAAAGCTCCTTGAACCTTCCTGGGTCAGCCATGCGGTCAGCCTCATCTAGAACAAGGAACGAAAGGTACTCGAGCTGCAGGGGGGGAACGGAATGTTGGAGAGAGGGGGAAGGAGAATGCCGGGGGGGGGGGAAGGGGATGAGTGGGCAAGGGGACATTTGATGTGTCTCAAAAGCCAGCCATGCGGTCAGCTTCGTCTAGAACGAGAAAGGACAGGTGCTCAAGATGCAGGGGGGAGGAGGGGAGGGGGGCAGGGGAAAGAGATGGTAAGGGGTTGAGAGGGGTAAAGGGAGCAGTAGAGAGCATTCGGGCTGCAGAGGGGGGAGAAAAGGGGGGGGCGGGGGTAGTGGGAAAAGGGGTAAGGGGAATGGCGAATGGCAGAGAGGAAAACAATAATGCCGCAGGCAGCAGGTGCGCCTCCCTACCTGCACCATACCTCCATGCTTACATAGAAACACATCATCACACCCAAAGACAGTCCCACCTGCACCAGGTGCGCCTCCCCTTTGCTCATGACCTCCCACACCTCTCCTGCACACCACATGCATGCATATGTACCTTCAACAAGTGCCCCACATACACACCCAGACAGTCCCACCTGAACCAGGTGCGCCTCCCCTTGGCTCATGAGCTCCCACAGCCGCCCGGGCGTGCCGACCACAATCTGCGGGTCGTGGCTCGTGGTTTCATCACCTCCCTTACACACCACATAGCATGCATGCCTCTGGTACAGGTAGGACTGTCTATGTGGCATATGTACCTTCACCAAATGCCCTCCCTACCCCACCTTCGCCAGGTACCCCTCCCTGCGTAAAGAAATATACACACACACAGAGACAGTCCCACCTGCACCAGATGCGCCTCCCCTTGGCTCATGAGCTCCCACAGCCGCCCGGGAGTGCCGACCACAATCTGCGGCCCTAGGCTCAGCACGCGCCGCTGCTTCACCTCCGCCATGCCGCCCACAATGCCGGCCACGTGGATGCCCGTGTGGCGGGCCGCGTCTTTTATGTGCGATACGATCTGCAGCGCCAGCTCGCGCGTGGGCGTGATGATGAGCGCTCGCAGCGCCCCCCTCACTCTCTTCCGAACCCCGCCGCCCACCACCTTTCCCCCCATCTTCCCGCCCGCCCCCTCCCCTTCCGCCTCTTTATCCCCCTCCCCTCCCCCATCCCCTTCCCCGCTCTGCTCCTCCCCAACTCTCTCACTCCCCGCGCCCTCCCCCCCTCCCGCCTCCCCTTCTCCTCCCCCGTCCTCCCCATCCCCATCCCCCTCTTCCCCCCACGGCCCGCCCCCGTCCTTCAACCTTCTCTCCTTCTCCCTTTCATCCAACAACCTCTGCAGGATCGGAATGGCAAACGCGAGGGTCTTGCCGGACCCAGTTTCAGCCGCGCCCACAACGTCCCTGCCCCGGGACGCAGCAGCGGGGATGCAAGCGCGCTGGATGGGCGTGGGGAAGGTGAAACCGAGGTCGTGTAGGGCGCGGAGAATGAGGGGGTGCAGACGGAGGTGTTCCCATTCCGCCATGTCTATGTCCTCTTCTCTCTCCTCGCCTTCTCCTTGCACCCCCTCTGCTGCTCCGTCGATTTCCATGCTCAATTCTTTGCCTTCTGCAGTCTCCTCCCCATCACTCTCCGCATCTTCCTCTCCCTCCTCCCCTTTCTCCTCTTCTCCCTCCTCTCCCTCCTCCCTCTCCTCCCCCTCCTCTCGCTCCTCCCCCTCCTCCTCGTCTCCCTCCTCTCCCTCCTCCTTACCCTTGGCTTGCTTCTCTCCTGCGCCCTTGTGCCTCTCACCCCGCTCCCCTCGCTTCAAAGCCGTTTTCAGCTGCTTCCTCTGCATCTTCCGCCTCTTGCTCTTGCTCATCTTCCCCTTCCCCTCTAAAACCCTGTCCCCGACCCCCGCGTCTCCCACCCCAGTTCCACTCTCTCCCCCGTCCGCCTCAACATCCTCATTTCCAGGCTCTTCCCCCGCGTCTTCTTCCCCCAATTCTCCCCCGCCCTCCTTTTCTCCGCCCTCCAAATCTCCACCCCCCAAATCCCCGCCCTCCAAATCTCCACCCCCCAAATCCCCGCCCTCCAAATCTCCACCCTCCATTTCTCCGCCAGCCAGCTCCACCCCGCCCTCCATCTCTCCGCCAGTCACCAATCCCTCAAACTCCGCCGGGTCAATCTCTTCCAGCCCCATGAAGCCTGGCGGAAGGAATGGGGGGAAACCGGAAGGATGGGGTTAAACTGGAGGAATGGGGGGAAACCAGGGGGATGGGGCGAAATTTCGCCCTGCATCTCTCCGCCCTCCAGTGCTCCGCCAGCCGGCAGCCCCTCAAATTCCGCCGGGTCGATCTCTTCCAGCCCCATGAAGCCTGGCGCGGGGAGATGGCGGAAATTTGGGGGAGTCGGGGGAAGATGGAGGAAAATTGGGAGAGAGACGGCGGAAAATGGGAAGAGCTGGCGGAAGACGGGGGGAGATGGTGGAAGATGGGGGGAGATGGCGGCGGAAAGCGAGGGATAGGAAAGGGAGGCGAGGAGGGCGGGTGTTTAGCGGCAAGAAGCCGTCAGAGAAGGGATGCGACTGTCGAGAACGGAAAAAACATAGGAAAAGGGAGAAAAAAAAAAATCCGAGATCGATTCAGAGGGGAATCGAAAAGGTCAGCAAGGTTTGACAGTCGGGGTTATGGGGAGGGTCACCAAGGGGTTGACGATATGGCGTACCTCCCGCGGCAAGGAGGGGGTGGCAAAATGGCGTACCTCCCGCGGCGGGGTTGCGCGGGTCCATGAGCATGTGCGTCCCTGCCACGGGCGTAACGTCCTTCCATTTCACCATGCTAAAATTCAACCTGCCTCCGCGCATCGTCTTCCCTCCGCCAATCACCTTTCCTCCGCCTCCCCGGAAGGCCTTTCCTCCTCCGCCTCGCCGCATAATTTCACCCTTTCTACCGCCCACAGCTCCCTTATTCTTCCCCCCTAATCCATTCCCTTTGCCGCTCGCGCTGCCTTTTACTGCCCCTCGCGACCCAAGCTTTGCGGCGCCGCCTCGCGTGCGTGTACCGCCGCGACCGCCTTTCATGAGGAACTGAATCTAGACAACTCGGACAAGGGAGTTCTGTGAGAACAGGCGAGGTGGTTCTTCCCAGCTAGCTTATGCCCTAATTCTCGCGGCAGGGGTTTTTGGTGCCCATGATGGTGGCAGTGGCCCACTTTGAAGGGCCTCGATATAAGAAATTTGTTTTTCCTTTCCTGCGCTGATGGAAAACACGATATATTTACCGGGTTGCACTGAACGAGAAACTTCGCGTTACAATCGGGCCCGATGAAATTTTTATAAGGCTTTGGATTTCAGTGAAGTCAAATGTAAAACAGCGAAACCGTGATCGAGCAAATATTGTCTTGACGAATGGGAATTCTTGATGGCGTGTCAATTGCAACGAAAACTGCCACATCGGAGGCACAAAGATCTCCGTGCTAGGCGCTGGTGAGTCAGGCTCGTGCGGCGCGGCAATCTCGGTGGTTGCTGGGAGTTACGGAATCTCTTCAACACGGTTGGATGAGCAAATCAGAGAAGCTTTCAGCGATTCTATACAGGAATCACAGAACGAGCCAAATTTCAGATGCACTCTCTCAACAGCCAGCAACTGTCAGTGTTCTTCACCTCATGGCCATCCTCATGGAATTTACATGACACACAATCAGCAACATTACGAGCCTCAGATCTCCAATATACTCCAGCCTGTACCTTCCATTAGACAACAATTCGTTGTTGAGGCTTGAGAACGATGGCCGCTGTTGCTGTCGCTGCTGCGTCCTCTAGCGTTGCACTGAAACTTTCAGCGCCGCGGAATGGGGTCTCTTCCTCTCGGACTCCCGCTCTAGCCTCGTTCCCCAGGCTCTCTAGGACAAGTAAGATGTCTTCAATGATTTATTTTCTTCTGGTATCACAAGAATTGGTTTCACGGAGAAGACTTACACAAGGGCTACGAATGGGTGACTAATTGCAGGTGTTGCGGGGAAACGCAAGCTCACGGTGAAGGCCACTTCGCCTCAAGTGGAGGAGTACAAGGGAAAGGCAACTGAACTCGTCGACGTTGCCAAATCCAAGGTTCATGTTTGCCGCAATTCTCCTCATTCTGTTCCGAATTCCGCCTCTTTGTTGGACGATTTCTAAAACGCAAACTGTTAATTGGTGATGCAGTGGGAAACAGTTGAGAACAAGCCTTTGGTGGCTCTGTATGCTGGTGGAGCCGTTGTTGGTTTATGGATAACATCTGCAATCCTGGGTGCTATCGACAGCATCCCGCTGGTGAGAAACTTACACCATACAGTTGCCGTAGCCGTCATTCCTCGTGTATCCAAGTGTGTTTCGCTTATTCTTTGGTGCATAATCTCTCATACCACGCTGCAGGTTCCAGGCTTCTTGAAGCTCGTTGGAACCGTCTACACTGGATGGTTCGCCTACCGCTACTTGCTATTCGAGGTCAGTTGTCACCATCGAGCAAAAGTATCGTTATGAAATTGGCTACTTTCTCGAGCTAACGACTCTGGTCTTCTTGCACTGCAGGCTTCCCGTAAAGAGCTGTCCGACAAGGTGGCGGATCTGATCTCCCAGATTAAGTGATCATACCGTATGTGTGTTATAACACTTGGGACCAAGTCCCAAGCATGCTTTCAGTGTGTCACACGTATGTAAATCAGATTAAATAAACATGTATGAGAGAAACACTGTGCTAGCGCACTTGGTTGGTACTTGTGTCCATTAACTTGAGTCCAAAAAAACGTTCACACATCACCCCATAGTATATACGGTACTCTAGAGGTACAAGAAAATGGTGACTACCTAAAATCTAGAGGAAATCATCTGAGCCTGGAAAATGTTGCATGTCAGGATGTACACCTCCACCAGGAGGACCCCTAGGCCTTGGGCGTCCATCCCTGTGTGAGAAGGAGAACATAGAATTGAAGGACGTCCAAACACAAAGGGGGATGACTAAGCAGCTTTGCATGCACATGCTTGTATGGCTGCATATGAGTGTGCGTTGTTTTCATGTAAGTTGATATTCGCATCATGTCAAACTCACTCAGTATCTACTCGAGCAGATAGTGACGTGCTTACCCAAATCTGCCAGGCTCGAAGCCCGGAATCCCTGGAGGTCCAAACGGATCAAAGCGAGCCCCTGGTGGCATTCCCCTGGAACACACAAAACAACAAAATCACAGTTCCAAAAGCATAGTGGCAGCACCAGCCCATACATCCTGAGGGACATGCATGTAGCAAAAAGGTGTAGAATTGGAAGCTTACGGAGGCAAGGGTCTCATTCCTCCAACTCCTCCTGGAAACGTTGGGCCCCACCTTGGATCATGAGGCCCTGCACATTACAGAGAGAGAATGGACATGAGAGTCTCAAAAGTGGTATTGGAGCGCCGACGCATGCGCTGACACCTGACTTCACGAGGGCATCCCTGCATTGGAATACAATACATACCTACAAGCATGCTTCCTCCACCAAAACCAGGTCTGCCACACACAAAGTAAAGGCATTCACATACACAATCAGGGTGAGTACCACAATGAAGAGAAAGAAAACGAGGACTGGCCTACCAATCTCTACCTTGAAGGCATGATCCCAGCTCCCCCTCCTGGATGCAAGTCATCATACAGCGGACCTGCAGGAATGGGAGGGTAAACAATCCCTTCCCCTTCCCCCATACCACCGACTGAACCACGCTGAGGCTCGTCAAAATATACCCCTCCTGTTCCCTCTCCCTCTCTCCCTGAACCCCTCGTCGACTCCTGTCCTGCTGTGCCTGTCGAAGTAGGCTGTGCTGCATCAGCAGCGCCAGCACCAGCAGCAGCAGCACCAGCAGCAGCAGCGCCAGCGCCAGCAGTCCCAGCAGGAGTGCCGGAGGTGGTGCTGGAAGTCAACGGCTCGATGATGGCTGATGAGATGGATGTTACCAGTGCTGGAAGGTTAGTGAAGATTTTACCGTAGTCGGTTGACGTCGGCGGGGTGTCTGCTGACGTATGCTCAGATACCCTGGAGAGTGGAGTGGAAGCAGTCAGAGAGCGCAGCCAATTGAAGGAACTTTAGTGCACGCTAGAGAATGTTATGGAAAGGGTACAATAATGAATGTAGGAGGTTCACAGACCTAATCTCAAGATGAGATACAGAAGGTGAAACCCCTCCTGCCGCTGCTGAACCTGCTCCAGCCACCGCTGTTGCATCCACCATAAGAAGCTCCCCGTCTGCAACAGATAAGCACTGAACCACCACTCTCTCTGCAGTACCAGTCTTCTCTGCACTTGCTGCTTCCGCTGAAGCTCCTGTACTCTCGTGAGCATACGCGAAATTATAAACACCTGGAACTGTGTTCCAACCCTCAATTCCAGCATCCGCGTTTAAAGCTACATCCCTCGACCCTGCAATCATCAAGAAACCAAACCGTAAACCGCAAAAAAAAAAAAAAAAACAAAAACAAAACAGATAACCTCAGCGTAGCCAACGCAAGGAGATTTGTCCGCCAAAGCTATTACGCCCCTTTTCGTCTTCTCACCTGCAGCTACCTCAGCGGCGTCAGGGCCGACAGCGAGGCACCTAAATCCAGACGAGAGGAACGTCGCATGGATCGCAAACGCAACGCTATCCTGTTTGGAAGTGAATCTCGGTCGATATGCTCTAAGCAGAGCTAAGACCGCCTCGGAAGTGGCCATCTGAGGCTGGATTTGACAGCTGTGGGATGCCGTAATCAGGAAACCCAGGAAAACAACCACGACGCTTAGGGTAAAAGAGACGAGCACGCAATACTTATGGACAAACACAGATGCGAGTACGACTGCGTGACTATGAGGCGTGTAGGGAAAATACGCATCCGCAATGAAGGAATGGCCATGCAGCAGAGAAGCCAGTCTTTGAGCAATTCAAGAATCCTTGGAGGGGCTCTATTGCAGCAATTTCGCAGCTCTAAGTATCCTGTTCGCGTACCTCGCCCGCCTGCGTCGCCCGCCAATCAAAATCTTTGATCGAAGCCTAGGTCTGACGAATTACTCAGCTTGCGTATCAAGAATATGTTGAAACACTGTCGAAGAAATAACTGTACCGATTCGATTTATAGAAACACGGGCTCAGAACTGTTCGGACGTGCGGAGCGTGGGTCCTTTCCAAACCAATAACGCTGCCTTGCCACGCGTTACAGTCATCAGTTCGAACATGTCGAGCTAATTCCCGAGGCTAGGTTGCACTTGATTCCCAACCACCCACGCCAAACCAGCAGCTTCGTACCAAGTCTCCAGTTTGCGCCGCGCCCTCCTACTACCAGTCCCGCTGTTCTGGAGTCCTCCACAACTGTACAAGGCAAAGGCGGAGAGAGCAGTTCAGTACGTCTTCCCCGCATACTCATCCAGTGCTTCCGCCCCGTCTTTGCAGGGCCACTTTCCGCCAAACCTTGTCACCTTCCACCAACATATAGGGACCATCCGCCAAGCACTCCTCCCCCTCCGCACGCAACAGCTCCAGCACCCTCTTCCGCATCTCCACGCCAATCCCTAGTCCCTCTTCCCCATTCCCCCATCCCCGCTCCCCATCTCCCCGGCCCTACTTCCCCCCTTACCCCAATCGCCTTGCCAGCCAGCCCAGTTTTTCCCCCCTTCAGTCTCAGCCATGGTGGTCCTTCCTTCCCTTCCACACCCACACCAACTCTGATTATTCCCTGCTCACCTCGCTTCGCCTTCGCCTAGTTAGAACTTAAGAAACCGCCTTAGATCACCGTAACAGTACTTTGAACCTTGGCTGGTTTTCTAATATTCAAAGAATAACCCGCATTGCGTTATCATCCGCTCTTCCTCCCTCACTTTCAGGTCTTACGTCTTGATCACTAAATGCGCGTTCTTTAGTTCACCTTCCCTGAGACAAAGTCTCTATGCTTCGCAACTTCAATTATTCTTATTATAAAATCATCTGTAAGGCGCACCTAGTTGCCAGTGCTCAGCTAAGACTGAGTTCTCCAGTGCTTGCGTAGAGTCGTGTAACCCTAATTGCACATCAGACCCATGGGTAATTGTTAAGGCCGTATTAACTGCTGGGCCAGCGAGGCAGGTGGACCTATGGGTGGGTGCTTATCTAGCGAGAAGGCGACGAAAGAGGAGCAAAGACCCAATAGTAACGCACCCCCGTCAGGTGAGTCGATAACGGCTATTAATGCATAGCTTCGAGTTCGCAGGTTGTTTGTCAACTCACTACCAGTTGGTGCGCTTTAGAAAGAAAACGACGATAAGAGTGCGACGAGCTCAGTGCCTTTCGTCCTTACCTTGCCGGTAACTGATCGAGTCCTTCTGTAGTGTGTCGTTTGTTAGCAGTTTTGTCGCTGTTATCCTCTGATTGCCAGCTTCCCTTTTCTTTGTCGGCTAACTCTTTGTTCAACCACAATAGACCCGCTTTTACCATCACGCGAAAAGGTAGTCGACAAAGCTCCAGAGTCGAGTTACTCTCATTGTACCCGTTAGCATGTAGTTTATTTTCCTTCTTTTCGCAACCCGTACGCGCTACCCTTTCTTCGGCTTTTGACTCGCTTTACTCACATTTCACTCAGTCCATTTCTCCTTTCATTCATCCTTTTGCCCCTTGCTTATGCGATGACTGCCTGACGTTACCGCGGGGAATTTCATTTTGAGTCAACTTGAGCGCCACATTGTTTCGCTTATTCGTTCTCCGCTCTTTCTTCCATCATACTTAGGCGGTGAGCCGCCTAAAGCTTCCGCGGGAGACTTTTGCGCGCAATTTTCACTCATTTATTCCTCCCCCACCCCCCTTTTCCCCCTCCTGCTTAGGCGGCGAGCCGCCTAAAGTTTCCGCGGGTGCGCCCGCTCCAGAAGCGGGAAGCCAGCAGCAGCCGCAACTGCAGCAGCAGGAGCAGCAGCAGGCGGAGGAGCAATGGCGGTTGCAGCAGCAGAAGGAGCAGGAGGCTCTGCAGCAGAAGCAGGCGTACGAGGCTCAGCAAATGCAGGAGCAGCAGCAGTTACAGATGCAACAGCAGCAGCAAATGCACTATCAGCAGCAGCAGATGCAGATGCAGCAGCAGCAGCAACAACAAATGTACATGCAGCAACAGCAGCAGCAGCAGCAGTATGGGGTAGATCAGCAAGGGTATAACCCGCAATACGGTATGCAACAACAAGACCCCAGGTACATGCAACAACAGCACATGCAGCAGCAGCAAATGCAGCAGCAGCCACCACCAATGAATCCTTACCAGCAGCCGCCCCACCTAGCCCCACCGCTTCCGCCAGGCTTCCAACAACCCGCCGCGGCCATCCCCCCCCGCGGGTTACGACAAGTGAACGAGGAGGAGGAGGTCAACGACGCGCAGGGGGGGTGGGGAGGCGGAGCGCCCGCGGGAGCAGCGGGCGGGGGAGGTGTTATCGGGTATCAGGAGCAGCCGGCGGAGCTACAGGAATATTCGTACCAGGATTTAGTCGATGCGACGGAGGATTTCCAGGAGCATTCGGTGCTGGGAGAGGGGGGGTTCGGGAAGGTTTATAAGGGGTACGTTTTGGACCGGTTCCCCGTGGAAGGCGGGCCGCCTGTGACGGCGACGGTGGCGATAAAGAAACTGAACCCGTCGGGTTACCAGAGCAAAGTGGAATGGATGGTGAGATGTTCGCAGATCGTTTTTATCGCTTGAGCGCTCGTCTTTCCGTCTTCCGCTCGCCCTCCCCAACCCCCCCCCCCCCCCCCCGCCGCCCCCCACCTCCCCCTCTCCCCCCATCCCACCATGTTCCGGTGACCTCCGCCTCGGGCTTTTCCGCCCCCTTCCTCGCGCTCTTTCGTTCTCTCCCCGTGCGCCCTTTAACATTCGTCCCCCCCTTGCGCTTCCGCTCGTCGCGGTCTCGCTCTTCCGCCCGCCTCCTCTTTAATGCGTTCCCATTGTTGCGTCCAGTTAGCCGGTTTGATATTAGCTAATTTATTCGGTCGTTTGCGTAAGGTCGCCCTTTCGAAATATTGGAGTCACTTTTGAGAACTCTCAAAAGTTCCTCGGACTTCAATACCCGGAAGGTCCACTGCGCTGGCTAGTATGCCTTGATACATTGATTCCTTACCTCATTTCCCTCCCCCTTCCCCCGCCCTGCCTCCCCCCGCCTCCTCTTTTTCATGCGTGCGTGTCCGTGCATGCGCTGTGCGTGTGTCCGTGCATGCGCTGTGCGTGTGTCTGTGGATGCGCATGTGCGCGTGCATGATCGTGTGCTGCGTGCGTGCTTGCTCATGTGTGGGTGCGAGTGCATGTGCGTGTGTGTGTGTGTGTGTGTGTGAGTGCGTGCGTGTTAAATAACAGAGGGAGATCCTGGTGCTGGGGAAGCTCAACCACCCCAACCTGGTGCGGCTGATAGGCTACTGCGCGGAGCTCGAGGAGATGCTTCTCGTCTACGAGTTCGTTCCCCGAGGCAGCCTCGACTACCACCTCTGGCCAGGTGAGCTTTCTTCCTTGTGAGTCCACTCTAGAGAAGGTTGCTCGAGGGGCCCTGGTGCGGCTGATAGGCTACTACGCGGAGCTCGAGGAGATGCTTCTTGTGTACGAGTTCGTTCCCCGAGGCAGCCTCGACTACCACCTCTGGCCAGGTAGGATTCCATGCGAATATTTCTCTTGTAATCTCACTTGAGAAAAAATGGGCGGGAAGGCCACTGGAGAAGCAGGTGCGAACCTGGTGCGGCTGATAGGCTACTGCGCGGAGCTCGAGGAGATGCTGCTCGTCTACGAGTTCGTTCCCCGAGGCAGCCTCGACTACCAGGAACTCTGACCAGGTTATCGTGATGTTTCTTTTTCCTGCCGTTGCCCCCACTGTGTGCGATCATCCCTCTGCTTGTTCCTAACGTGTGCCTTTTGCCTCTCCACGAGCCCTTCAGCCCCCATCGTGCCCACGGTCCCCCAGCCATGGCGCGCGCGCCCATTGCGTTGCCCACAATGCCGTCTCTGACTCAGTGCCCCTTGGAATCCTCCTTGTTCCCCTCTGCTTTCCCTTTCCCCATCGTGTTGCCCCTCCTGCAATCAGCCCCCATCGTGCCCACGGTCCCCCAGCCATGGCAAGCGCGCCCATTGCTCAGTGCCCCTCTGAACCCTCCGTGTTTTCCTCTCTGCTTGTCCCTTTGCTTTCCCCTCCTCCAATCAGCCCCCAACGTGCCCGCGGACCCTCTGCCGTGGCGTGTGGCTTGTCTACCCTCTGACCCTCCATGTTCCCCTCTGCTTGCCCCTCGTTTTGTCCCTCCTGCCGTTCCTGTCCCCTCAGCCCCCAACGTTCCCGCGGACCCTCTGCCGTGGCAAGCGCGCTTGCGGATCGCGCACGACGCGGCATGTGGGTTGGCGCATCTGCACGCCAGCAACTTCATCCATCGTGACTTCAAAGCTCCGAATATCCTCATTGCTGAGGTACGGTTGTCCATGCTCGTGCAGGCTCGTATGGGTACGTCTGGTTGCGTATGGGTGTGTGTGGGTACATCTCGACTCATGATTCGGCGTGTGGGTTGGCGCATCTGCACGCCAGCAACTTCATCCATCGTGACTTCAAGGCCCCTAATATTCTCATAGCTGAGGTATGTCTGGTTGTGTGTGGGTACGCCTCGGTGCGTCTGGGTGCGTATGGGTACGTGTAGCCCATGGTGCAGCATGTGGGTTGGCGCATCTGCACGCCAGCAACTTTATCCATCGTGACTGGCTCCCAATATTCTCATTGCTGTGGTATGTATGGGCGGGCTCGTGTAGGGGTGCGTCTGGGTACGTGTGGTTGCGTCTGGGTACGTGTGGGTGCGTCTGGATACGTGTGTGGGTGCGTCTGGGTACGTGTGGGTGCGTCTGGGTACGTGTGGGTACTGCGACCTCAAGGTTCCCAGTATACTCACTGCCAAGGTACGTCTCTCAGGCGCCTATTCCCGCCTTCGCTCCGCCATCCCTCACCATCTCTCCCTAGTCCCCTTCCCTCGTCCTCTGTCATCGAGGTGACTTTTGAGTCGACTCAAAAGCTCCCTCGTCCCCGTCCCTCGTCCTCTGTCATCGCTGCTCTTTTCCCTCGGCCCTAACTGCCCACAGATATGTCTAGCACCTCAAATGAGGCACTCCCCACCCAAGCTGGCAGGTTTGAGTCGCCTCAAAAAATCGTGTTCCTCATCCTCAACCGCCCACAGAAAGTCCAGCACTCCGCACCCAAGCTGGCGGTTTTGGACTGGCACAACGCGGGCCTGATTTTGAGGAGCCTAAAGGATTCTCCGACCCCTCCCCCTCCCAACCCATCCCCATCTCCATCCCTCCCCCACCGCTACCGCACCCTCACCCCCCACAACCTTGAACCCCGCCCACCATTCCCTTCATCATGATTTTGCAGTCACTTTTGTGCAGAACTATTCAGGGAAGCTGACGGATTTAGGGCTGGGAAAGGATTGGCCTGTTGTTGATTAGGAACACCTGAAGGTACTCGTTTTGAGACGTCTCAAAACACTACTTCTATCTCGAGGGGCGTGTTGTTGATTAGAACACCGAAGGTACTCTCAGCCTTCCCTCCGCCCTTGACCCCCACCCACACACCAATCCCCATCCCCACCCCACTCCACCCCTCTCCATCTCTTTGCATCCCTTCCTCTGCAGAATTACGCGGGCAAGTTGACGGATTTCGGGCTGGCAAAGGACGGGCCGGATGCAGGGCAGACGCACGTGTCGACTCAGATCATGGGCACCATGGGGTACCTTGACCCGCGTTATGCTGAGACAGGTGCGCTGGTGGTTTGATGGGTTGAAAAGGTTGTGCTGGTGTTTGTGGCACGGTGAGGCAGGCAGTGTGATGAGACATGGGTCACATGGGCAGGGCAGACGCACGTGTCGACTCAAATCATGGGCACCATGGGGTACCTTGACCCTCGATATGCTGAGACAGGTAGGTCAATGGTTGTGATGGGGTGAAACAGGTGTGCTGCTGTTTTTGGTACTGTGAGGTAGGTGGTATGATGGGGTATGGGTCACATTGGCAGGGCAGACGCACGTGCCGACTCAGATCAAGGGCACCATGGGGTACCTGGACCCTCGATATGCTGAGACAGGTATGATGGCCGTGATGTGGTGTGGTGACGCACATATCAACACTTACTCTGGGCACCATGGGGTACCTGGAACCAGAATCTGCTGAGACAGGTACGATGGTGCTTGTGGTATGGTGAGGTAGGTATGATGGTGGCCATAGCGTGGTGATACATGCCTCATGGTCAGGGCAGACGCACGTGTCGACTCCAGGTCCTGGGCACCATGGGGTACCTGGACCTGCGATACGCTGAGACAGGTGTGAGGGTGGTTGGGTTATGGTGAGGTAGGTATGATGGTCTTGATGGCTCGAAACAGGTGTGCTGGTGCTGCGTGTGGTATGGAGGAGTAGGTAGTTGGTACGGTGAGTCACGGGTCACATGGGCATGGCATGTGTCTACATGGATCAAGGGCACCATTGGGTACATGGACCTGAGGTCATGGTGGCATGTTTTGATACACCGCTCTCAAGCATTGAGTTGCATTCACATGCGTCACTGCCAATGTGTCTCTCACGCTCTGTTCAACACGCCTGAACCCCCACCCCACAGGTCAGCTGACAGTGAAGAGTGGCGTATATGCCTACGGGGTTGCCCTCTTAGAGCTCCTGACGGGCATTAATGTGCATGCACATGTGCCAATGTCCCTATCCCGCTTTGATACGCATCTACCCCTACAGGCCAGCTGACAGTGAAGAGTGACGTGTATGCCTACGGGGTGGTGCTGCTAGAGCTCCTCACAGGCAAGAAGGCAATGGGAATCAGCCCTGGGGGCAAACCCAAGACCCTCACCTCCTGGGCGCGCCCGTACCTCAACAAGGCTCGGCCGGACCTGGAGTCGCTTGTCGACCCGAACCTGATTGACCCGTTCCCAGAGAAGGTGGCTCGGACGTTGGCGATCTCGGCGAAGCACTGCATTCAGGACGACACCAACATGCGGCCGATGATGAGTGATATTGTGGACACGCTCCGGCCGCTCAACACAGCCATTAATGGCCGCCGCTAGGCATGGTTGGGAGTCGAGTGGGGGATTGGGAGGGAGGGAGGGAGGGAGGCGTTGACGAAGCACTGCGTTCAAGACGAAACCAGCATGCGACCCATGATGAGCGATATTGTGGACGACACTCTCTGGCCGCTCAACACCACTATCAACGGCCTCTGATAGGCATGTGTCCATGGCTTCAAGGGCATCTTGGTGCTTTCGAGTCAGCTGGGGAGCATCATGGACAAACCGGATTCACGGCTATTGGAGCGATGGCTTCATGACCAGCAGGTGCAGCTAAGCCGAGACTTGGAGCGATGGGAGATATTGCGCATGTGGATGGAGCAAGTACGGGGTTGTTACTGGATGGTGATAGGCACTGTACGGGGTTTGAGCGTTGAGCAGAGTCGAGAGGCGGGACGAGGCGAGGGTTTCTACAGAAGCGCGGCGGGGGTGTGACGAAGAAGCTGAGGCAAGGGGAGTTGGGTATGAGGGCAAGGGTGAAAAGAATGAGGGGGGGGGGGGGAGGGGGGGAGGGTGGGGGGGAAGACGGGAGGGGAAGGGAAGGAGGGGGGTAGGGCACTGGGAAAAGTGTTGGGGGCTCCAAGGGGATGCTTCACAAAGTAGAGAATCAGCAAGGGGTCGAAGGGATGGAGCAGCTGGGAAGAGGAGTAGCGGGAAGAGGAGCATTTAGGGAAGATGATCAGCATCAGCATTAGCAGACTCTGGAGTAGGTTTTTGTGCGTTCTTGATGTTAGCAGCATTAGTAGACTCCGTAGCCTTCAGTTTTGTGATAAAAAGGGTTAGTGATGTACGGGGGATTGGGTGAGGGTGAAGGGAAGTGGGGAGGAGGGGTGCCACCATCAGTGCTCTGGTGTTGGATGGTGTATTGGGGAGTTTTGAGTTACGGAAAACCAGTATGAGTGGGATGACAGTAGTTCACCTTGGTGACATAGACGATAGGATAACCGGTATGCTGGTGGCCGATTTGCTTGTAGGAGTCAGGAGGAGCTGTGAGGTCCAGTCTGAGATAATCTGAAGGCTCTGAAGATGTTTTGTGGCTAGCTCGAATCATGAGAGGTCTCTCGTTGTAAGGCTCCCTGGCTTGTAGTTAGTGTGTGGTGGTTAGCAGATTAGGAAACATGTTAGGCTTGCTTGTGGGACTTGTTGGGGAGGATGCGGGAACTAGTGCAGTGCAGCGTTGTACTAACGGGCTTCAGAGTGACCTTGGTCACAAAAATCTGGAGCTTGGAGCTTGCAAACCAGTTTTTCCTTTAGGTTGTAGGAAGTAAGGCAAAGAGTTGTGTAATTTACATGGTTATGTTAATGTTACTGGATTCTGCATGCTTATTTCGTTACAGTCGCATTTTTCTTCCACCCTCGATCTTGCCGAGCTCGCAAGGGATATTGCTTCCAGTATTCATGATGGTGCTCGCCTTTTTCTTCCCCACACCCAGCTCTGTTCGTCTTCTTGCATCTCGCGCCAGTATAGCCTATCCTGGTCAGTACACGCCTTCGGCGTGCTTTGCCGCTGGCTCCACTGATCGGGCATCCATTTCTGCTCTTGTCCCGATCATGCCGGTACGCCTGACTCATTCCATGTACTTGTAGGTGTTAGCGTGGCGCTTGTTCTTCGCGAATTCGTTGCACTGACGGTCTGTAGGTCCCTGAATTTTTCGGATTATAAAAGGGACTAGTGATCAGATTTCGCCGTCTACGTGCTGATGCAGGCAGTAGATCACGGCAATTTAAGACCTAGTTTCTTTGTTTTCGCGACGAATCATCTCGCGTCGCTTGCTTAGATTCACCGGTCCTTCCGGTCTTCTAAGCGCATTCTAGCTTTTGAGTCGCCTCGCTTTACTCAAGAGTCGCTTCAGTTGCTCAGATTCGCCTGTTCATTCGCCCACTTGCGTGCTAACCCCTTAGGGATCCGCACTAGAGCAGATCCTAATCGTTCCAACATCTTCTGAACGTGCTTCCATATAACTTGATTCGTTATTCTCTTTCAGGCGCGTCGGCTGCTGGAAATAGAGCCTCGTGGCCCATTCCGCTACATCCTGGGCGCAGTGCTGATGCTCGTGCTTCTTTATTACCTGATTCGTTATTTCCTTTCAGGCGCGTCGGCTGCTGGAAATAGAGCCTCCAGGCCCCATCCGTTACATCCTGGGCGCGGTGCTGATGCTGGTGGGGGTCGTGCTGCCGCTCACCTACTTCATGTTCCGATCCAAGCGAACCCCGCCTCCTTCGTTCAAGCAGACGTAGGTGTGGTAACCCTATATGCTCGTTATAAGCATTTTCGTGTTTACTTCCATCACCTAGACCTTCCGAATATTGCCTAATCCTACCCAATCCTGCCTAATCCTGCCTGATACTCCCTATTCCTGCGTAATATCGCCTTATTTTGTCTAATCAGCATCTTGCCGATCTTATCATCGTAACTAGGTAGTGACAGCTTCTTTTGCTAGATCTGCAGTCGAAATCTACGGATTTTAAGTCGTACTCCTGGTTTCCATTCGCATGACAGTTGCTCGATCTCTGATGTTCTCTTGTATTGTACGTTCAACCCAACCTTGTCCCTCAGGTTCTAGCCACCCAATTCTCTTCCCGCCGAAGCTACCGTAGAAATCAGCCACCACTGTGGAGCGGGGCTTATCTGCCAATCACCGTTGACTGCTAAAACCAGCATCCAATCATGGCTAAGTCGCGTAGAACCACACGCCTACCGCCGCTGCTGAGGCCACTGCGGCCACTGCGACTGCTGCTGGTACTGGCGATAGCGGTGTTGTGCGTGGGAGTGGTGCGGGTGAGCGGGCTATACGAGGACCAGGTGGGGACGTACGACTGGGTGCAGCCGCGCATAGGCGGCGTTCGCTTCGCCGCGTTCCTCACCTCCTCGCAGCGCAAGCGCGTGCTCGTGGGCACGGACAGGAACGTCATTGCGGCCCTGAACCTCCGCACGGGAGATGTCGGTGAGTCAGCTATGGGGTATGCTGGTGAGTGAGCATGAACGCCGCGTGCTGCTGCTGCTGTTGGTTCTGCTGTTGGTGCTGCTGCTGGTCGCGGGGGTGGCGGGGGGGCCGGAGTGGCGCGGGTGAGCGGGCTATACGAGGACCAGGTGGGGACGTACGACTGGGTGCAGCCGCGCATAGGCGGGGTTCGCTTCGCCGCGTTCCTCACCTCCTCGCAGCGCAAGCGCGTGCTCGTGGGCACGGACAGGAACGTCATTGCGGCCCTGAACCTCCGCACGGGCGATATCGGTGAGTGAGACAGTGGGGTGGGTTAGCTGGGGAGTGGGGGGGGGGGGGGGGGGGGGGGGGTGTGCAGCGCAAGCGCGTGCTCGTGGGCACGGACAGGAAGGAACGTCATTGCTGGCCTGAACCTCCGCACGGGGGATATGGGTGAGCTGTGTGCAGTGCATGTCACAGCCAGGAACTTGGGGTTTGAAGTGCCGAGCCAGGGCTGGTTTGAATCCGAAGCGCCTCACACCACTCTGCTGCTCCTCTCCCATTGTCACCTTTCTTGCTTCTCGCCATGTGAAATCTCACGAATTTGCAAGACAGGGAAATGTATTCTCCGTTCTCGTTTTCACTTTTCCTCTCTGATTTCCTTCCCCTGCCCCTCCCCTGCCCCTCCCCTGCTCCCCTCTCTCCCCCATTGTTTCCTCCTTGAAACGCCCTTCTGTGGGTGGCAGCATGGCGACGTGTGCTAGGGGACAAGGACACCCTCCATGCGCTGGATATGGGCGGCAGATGTGAGTTCCTGGAGGGTTATGGGCGGCTGGCGTGTGTGCATGAAAGATATGGGCGGCAAGTCTGAGTGCATGGAGAGGTATGAGCGTCAGATGTGAGTGGACGGAGGATTATGGGCGGGAGATTTGAGTGAAAAGGAAGAATGTGAAACAGACGTGAGTTTGCAGTGTGCACGGATGTGGTCAATTGCCCTTAGGAATCCGCATCCTCTGTGTTGACACTTATGTGTTCACCCCAACCCCATTCCATCTCGTCTGTTGATGTTTCCACCCATGCAGACCTCGTCACGGTGTCGGGCACCGAGGCAGCAGCAGTGCGGGCGTGGGCTGTGCCTGATGGGACCCTCGCATGGGAAACCATGTTGCCACTGCCTGCAGCAGCAGCAGCAGGGGATGTGATGGCGAAATTTGTCACCATTCCGGTGAGTGTGGGGTTGGGTGAGGGCTTGAGCTGTGCCTGTTGGGACCCCCTCGCATGGGAGACCGTGTTGCTACTGCCTGCAGCTGCTGCTTCGCAGTAGCAGCATCAGGAAGGGGAGTGACTGCAAAATTCATCACCATTCCGGTGAGTGTGGTATGGGGTTGTGGGTTGGGCTGTCGTTGATGGGACCCTTGCATGGGTAACCGTGCTGCCACTGCTTTCGCTGCAGCAGCAGCAGCAGCAGCAGCAGCAGCAGCAGCAGCATCATTAGGCGGGGAAGTGATGCTTGATGTATCACCAGGCAAAATTTATCACCATTGGCATGGGGGTGTGGTTCCTCCCGATGGTGATTTATCACCAGGCAAAGTTTATCACCATTGGCATGGGGGTGTGGGTCCTCCCGATGGTGATTTATCACCAGGCAAAGTTTATCACCATTGGCATGGGGGTGTGGGTCCTCCCGATGGTGATTTATCACCAGGCAAAGTTTATCACCATTGGCATGGGGGTGTGGGTCCTCCCGATGGTGATTTATCACCAGGCAAAGTTTATCACCATTGGCATGGGGGTGTGGGTCCTCCCGATGGTGCCCTTGTTTGCAAGGCTGTCCTGTTCCGCCGCTGCCGTTGAGTGCCGCTGCAGCAGCAGCAGCAGCAGCAGCAGCAGCAGCAGCGGCAGCAGCAGCAGCAGCAGCAGCAGGGAATGTGAGTGTGGAATCATCCCGGTGATGTGATATGGCGCCACAATTCTCGTCTTTGGAGGCGCCTCAAATGTGATGTGATATGGCGCCAAAGTTTGAGTCGCCTCAAAAGCAGAATTATCCCGGTGATGTGATATGGCTCCACAATTTGAGTCGACTCAAAAGCAGACTTTTGAGGCGCCTCAAAAGAATTATCCCGGTGATGTGATATGGCGCCACAATTCTCGTTTAATCAGTTGTCTCACACCACAAGTCTTCCCTTACGCGATGGTCTCAATCTCCCACGCCTCTGGCCTCTTTGAGACGTCTCAAAAATGAACAAGGGTTTTGAGACGTCTCTAATCCCTCGTCTCACACTACAAGTCGTCCCTTTCTCGATGGTCTCAATCTCCCACGCCTCTGGCCTCTTTTGTTCCGTCTTTTCGTCCCCCTTTCCCTCTCTCAGGCTGCTGACGGTTCCTCAGCAGACCGAGTGGTGGTCCTGCTTGGATCAGCAGCAGCAGCAGCAGCAGCGGCAACAGAGGTGCATTGCGTGTCAGCTGCTACTGGGGAGGTTCTTTGGTCAGCTACACTACCCTCCCATGCCCATTCCATCTCCCTCCTCCCACAAGGCTCCATCCTCCTCACTAGCCTCTCCCCCTCCCTCGCCTTCTCCCTCACCACTCTCGATGCCGCCTCTGGCAAAGTCACTGCCTCTGCTGCCTCTCCTACTTCCTCTTCCTCTTCTTCCGCTTCGTTTTCTGGTCATTCTGCTGCGTATGTCACGGCGACTGGCACTGCGGTGGCTGTGGATTCGGCGTCTGGTAACATCCTCACTGCTGCACTGGTTACCTCTGTTACAGCGGATGCTACAGCCGATGCTACAGCTGCTACAGTGCAAGTGCACAGCACCCCCCTTGCCTCTCTCCTACCCAAGGAGCACCATCAGTCGGGAGTATCAGCTGCTGTGGTGCCAGAGAAGGCTCCAGGAAGCTTCTTCTGGCTGGCTGTGCCAGGAGCTGTGTTTCTCCTGTCAGCACGGGCGGCAGACGGGCAGGCTGGGTCGGCAGGACAGGTGTCGCTTGTTGATTCGTTCCCTGGGTTGAGTGCTGTTAGTGCAAGCGTTATGGGAGGCGCAGCAGGGGCAGCAGGAGCAGGAGGAGCAGGAGGGGAGGGAGGGGAAGGGGGGAGTTTCTATTCGGGTCTTGTGGGATCGCAAGGCAGCGGTGACACCCTGAAGTTCCACATGCAGGTATGTTCGAGTGACTTTTGAGAATTCTCAAAAGCCACTAGAATTCTCAAAAGTCTCTTGTGGGATAGCAAGGCAGTGGTGACACCCTGAAGTTCCACATGCAGGTGAGATGCGAGGAGAGGAGAGGGTGTGTGTGTGTGTGTGTGTGTGCGCGCGCGCGTGCGCGTGTGGGAGTGCGCATGTGTTTGCCTGTGTGTTGCCGACATCTTCATGCATGTATGAATTGAGGAGTGTGAGGGCCTTATGGGATCGCAAGGCAACGGTGATTCCCTCCAGTTCCATGTGCACGTGAGGTGCGAGTTGTGATCTTTTGAGTTGACTCAAAAGTCAATTGAGGAGTGTGAGGGCCTTATGGAATCGCACTGCCTGCAACGGTGATTCCCTCCAGTTCCACATGCACGAGAGGTGCTAGCGAGTTGTTAAGGGTGCCTGGGTGTGTGCGGGCGTGCACATGTGTGCGCTCATGAGACATGTTGAGCCGAATCGAGCAGTTTCCCTCCTCTCTTTCTCTCTCCCCATTCCCTCGTCCCTGCAGGTGCATCAGCTGCTCCCCTCCTCCTCCTCCTCCTCCCCGCCTGCCCTCCTCTCGGACTCTGTCTCTGTGCCACCGCACCCGATGCCTTGACTCTCTTGCTCGTTCCTCCTTCCCTAGTCCTTCCTCCCTTTTCCCTGCATGTGCACCAGGTGCTTCCAGCTGCCTCCTCCGCTCCCTCTGCCCTCCTCTCGGACTCTGTCTCTGTGCCACCCCACCGTGCCCCCCCTGTTCACCATCTCCTCTCTTTCTCTCTCCCCATTCCCTCATCCGTGCAGGTGCATCAGCTGCTCCCCTCCTCCTCCTCCCCGCCTGCCCTCCTCTCGGACTCTGTCTCTGTGCCACTGCACCGCGCCCCCCCTGTTCGCGTCTTCCTCAACGCATATGCGAGGGCAGCAGGGGCAGGGGGCAGGGGACGAGGCAAGGATGAGAAAGTGGCAGGAGAGGGGAAGGCGGGTGCGTTCGGTTTCAGGCTGCTGGTGGTGGGAGAGGATGACTCGTTGTCTCTGCTTCAGCAGGTGGGTTCGTAGGGAACTTTTAACTTGCAGACTGCAGGGTAGCGCTTTCTTGCCCGGTGGAAAGGCCAAGGGTGAGAAAGTGGGGAAGACGGGTGCGTTCGGTTTCAGGCTGCTGGTGGTGGGAGAGGATGACTCGTTGTCTCTGCTTCAGCAGGTGGGTTATCACTAGCTGCGTTTCCTTCTCGCTTTATGCTTCTTATTGCTGGTGGATGAAGGATAGGAAGGGAGGGACTTGCTGTTGCTGTTGCGGCAGGTGGGTTCTCCCTCATTCCCCTCCAAAGTCCCTGTTCCATTTCCCGTTTTCTTCAGGGCGATGTAGTGTGGGAGAGGGAGGAGGCTCTAGCATCAGTGGTAGCAGTGACCGTAGCAGAGCTACCAGAGGAGGAGGAGCTGTCAGTGGCAGCAGTGGAGCATGACATGACATCTACGAGTGGGCACAAGCTCATGCATACCCCATCTGACTGACCTTCCCCACTCTCCCTCCCTCCACTCCTTCCACTTCCTTCCAATTTTTTCCCCGTTCTCTGCGGGGCGAGGTGGTGTGGGAGAGGGAGGAGGCTCTAGCATCAGTGGTAGCAGTGACAGTAGCAGAGCTACCAGAGGAGGAGGAGGAGCTGTCCGTGGCAGCAGTGGAGCATGACATGACACGAGTGGGCACGAGCTCATGCATACCCCATCTGACCTTCCCCACTCTCCCTCCCTCCACTCCTTCCACTTCCTTTCAATTGTTTCCCCGTTTTCTTCAGGGCGAGGTGGTGTGGGAGAGGGAGGAGGCTCTAGCATCAGTGGTAGCAGTCACAGTGGCGGAACTGCCAGAGGAGGAGGAGGAGCTGTCAGTGGCAGCAGTGGAGCATGACATCTACGAGTGGGCTCGCACGCACCTCCTCAGAGCCAAGTCAAGTCTCTCTCAAGGCCTGCCCCTCTCTTTCTCTGACTCTCTCACCTTCCCGTACCCATGCTGATCCTCCCCCACTCCCTTGTACCGTTCTTGCCTTTTTTCCTCTCAGGCGAGGTGGTGTGGGAGAGGGAGGAAGCTCTAGCCTCAGTGGTAGCGGTAACAATAGCAGAGCTGCCAGAGGAGGAGGAGGAGCTGTCAGTGGCAACAGTGGAGCATGACATCTACGAGTGGGTGCGCACGCACCTGCTCAGAGCCAAGGTCTCTCTCAATCGTGGCTCGGCTGAGGAACAGGCCCTTGTGCATCGCCTGCGCACCGCCTCCCCTGAGCTGAGATGAGACTGTTCCGCCTACTCACTCTCCCTGCGTCCCTCCCTCCCTGGTCCCCTCCCCACCACCCCATTTTCCTGCCCCGTATTCTTCAGGGTGAGGTGGTGTGGGAGAGGGAGGAGGCTCTTGCTTCAGTAGTAGCAGTGGCAGTGGCAGAATTGCCAGAGGAGGAGGAGGAGCTGTCAGTGGCAGCAGTGGAGCATGACATCTACGAGTGGGCGCGCACGCACCTGCTCAGAGCCAAGGTCTCTCTCAATCTTGGCTCGGCTGAGGAACAGGCCCTTGTGCATCGCCTGCGCACCGCCTCCCCTGAAAAGATCAAGCCTTTCCGGGATAGGAACGGGTTTCGGCGCATTCTCCTGCTGCTGACTGCGCCAGGTGGGGGCAACGGAGGGGCAGGTGGGGGCAACGGAGGGGCAGGTGGGGGCAACGGAGGGGCAGGTGGGGGCAGCGGAGGGTCAGGTGGAAACAGTGGAAGGGGGATGGGGAAGCTGTTTGCGTTGCATTCAGGGGATGGTCGGGTGCTGTGGGCTGCTGCGCTGCCATCAGGTGGTTCTTCAGGTGGAAGGGGCGCGTCTGTGTTTTCACCTGAAGCGTTGGTGCTGTGGAGGGACCCCCACCGCACATCACCTGACCAAACACCTGAAGCTCTGGTGCTGCAGATCAGGCAGCAGAAGCAGCAGGCGGAGGATGAAAAGGTTGCACACGCAGCATTAGTGACTATAGTGAATGGGCACACGGGGGATGTGCTTGAATCTAAGGGCCTGCCTTTTGTGCCCCGTCTCGTTTCCCCGTTGCCCTTGGTGGGGAAAGACGAGCGGCGGCTGGTGATGCTGGTTGAAAAGGTGCAGTTGAATGAAGCGGAAGAGCAAGAAGCGGAAGGAGTGGGGAAGGAGGGGAAGGAGGAGACAGATGGGAACGAGAAGGGAGGTGCAGCAGCAGGGGGAGCGGGGGGGAAGGCACGGAGATATGGGCCTGTGCGGGTGCATGTGTTCCCAGGGACGGAGGAGGCAAGGGGTCTGTTTGAGGGGCACAAGAAGGAGGTGTTCTTTTATCTGGTGGACACTGTAACGGGGGCTGTGGAGGGGTATAGCATTGGAGAGGAGGTGAAGGAGGAGGGTGGCAGTAGTGGGAGTGAAGGGAGGAGCGATGGAGGGAGATTGGGAGGGGGTGTGGTGTATGGAGCAGTGTTGGTGTGGCGGGTGGTTCTTCCAGCTGATTCAGAGATCATTTCAGCCATTGCTGCACCTAAGAGAGAGGAGGTGTGTGGGTGTGTGTGCATGGGTGTGCATGGTTGCATGGTCATTTCATTTCAGCCATTGCTGCACCTAAGAGAGAGGAGGTGTGTGGGTGTGTGTGCATGGGTGTGCATGGTTGCATGGTCATTTCAGCCATTGCTGCTCCTAAGAGAGAGGAGGTGTGTGGGTGTGTGGCGGGTGGTGCTGCCTGCTGACTCGGAGGTCATTTCGGCCATTGCTGCACCTAAGAGAGAGGAGGTGAATGTTTGTGTGCAGACAGAGGGGAAAGGGATAGGGGGGTTGTGTGCGAGTGGAGTGTGTGTGCAGGGGGCCATGGGTGTCCATGCCTGTGGATTGTCCTTGCCATCTCTGCGCCCAATCAATTCCATTTCCCATCCCCCCCAATCCCCATCCAACCCCTCTCAGTCCCAGCACACACAAGTGCGAACCCCGGGTGATCACAGTGTGCAGTTCAAGCTGCTTCTCAAAAACCTTCTCTTCCAGTCACTTGAGTTGTTGTTGCCCCCAAACAAGCCGTTTCCTATCCCCTCCACATCTCCCTCCTCTCTCCTGGCCCCTCACCCTCACCCCCTCTCCCTCGCAGTCCCAGCACACGCAAGTGCGGGCCCTGGGCGACCGCAGCGTGCAGTTCAAGCTGCTTTCCAAGACCCTGCTCATTATGCCTTTGACCTGTAATTGCCCCCAAAACAAACACATTTTTCCTCGCCCCCCACCCTTCACCCCCTCTCCCTCTCAGTCCCAGCACACGCAAGTGCGGGCCCTGGGCGATCGCAGCGTGCAGTTCAAGCTGCTTTCCAAGAACCTGCTCTTCCTCGCCACAGTCACCCCTCCTGCAGCCGCTGCTGCCTCTGCTTCTGCTTCTGCTGGCGCAGCAGGGGCGGGAGGGGAGGAGGGGGGAGCGGTGGTGGTGTATCTGGTTGACACGGTGGGAGGACAGGTGGTGGAGCGGGTGGTTCATTCGGGCATGCAGGGACCCGTGCACGCGGTGAGTGTAAGGGAGAGGTTTGGGGCTTGCCTGAACATGGGGTTGTTTGTACGGGCCTAGTCTGTTGGTCCGTACGGGGTTTGGGGTTGCTACCAGTGCAGGGGGGGCAGGGGCGGGAGGGGAGGAGGGGGGATTGGCGGTGGTGTATCTGGTTGACACGGTGGGAGGGCAGGTGGTGGAGCGGGTGGTTCATGCGGGTATGCAGGGACCCGCGCATGCGGTGAGTGGAAGGGTCTTCATGGTTTGTTAAGGGCTTGCCTGTATGGGGCTTGTTTGTTCGGGGCTGGTCTGTAGAGGAGCTGGGGTTGCCACGGGTGCAGGGGGAGTGGTGGTGGGAGGGGAGGAGGGGGGAGCAGTGATGGTGTATCTGGTTGATACGGTGGGAGGGCAGGTGGTGGAGCGGGTGGTAAAACGAGGGCATGCAGGGACCCGTGCACGCGGTGAGTGTGGGGGGTTGTTAGGGGGGTCTTTGCAGCTGCTCTGTACAGGGTTTGTACGGGTTTGTACGGGTTTGTACGGGTTTGTATGCAGCTAGTCTGTACTGGCTTTGGGGTCGGCACCACTGCAGGCGCAGCAGGGGCGGGAGGGGAGGAGGGGGGATTGGCAGTGGTGTATCTGGTTGACACGGTGGGAGGGCAGGTGGTGGAGCGGGTGGTTCATGCGGGTATGCAAGGGCCAGTGCACGCGGTGAGTGTGGGAGGGTCGTACGGCGTTTGTACAAGGCTGGTCCGTATGGGGATTGGGGTCCCTATTGCACATGGTCCGTTTGCCTCCCTCTCCTGTCCTCTACTCCTGATCACTGTTGATATACATTGTTAGACACTGTCTTACAATGGCGTTCTGTTGTCCATTGCCCTTCAACCTTGCAACCTCCCATCTCGTTCCGTCTCCAACCCCCATACCCCCTCTTCTTTCCTCTACCCGCAACCCCTGATTCGCTCATCCTGTTCCCTCCTCTGCCCGCTCCTGCTCCCACGTTCCTTCCCCAACTACTCGTCCCGCACAGGTTATGGCAGAAAACTGGGTGGTTTAGATACCACTACTTCAACCAGTCTCAGTTTCTTGTCCTGTTCCCTCTGCTTTCTCCTGTGCTCTCCTTTTCCCCCATCCCCTCACATCCCGCACAGGTAATGGCAGAGAACTGGGTGGTCTACCATTACTTCAACCCTGCTGCCTCTTGTTTTGCTTCCTTAGTAAACCCATACTTTCTCGTCTCCGTTCTGCTCTCTATCTTGGCTCCTTGCTTTCCTGGGCAGGTCATGGCAGAGAACTGGGTGGTATACCATTACTTCAACCCTGCGGCCTCTCGCCACGAGGTCTCCACTATAGAGCTCCTCGATACTTCTCTGAAGGACGTCCCCGTCATAGACTACCTCAAATACGGCCTCAGCATCCCAGGATCGTCCAACCTCACCGCCCCGCTTTCTGCAGCGGAAATTCCCTGGGAGAGGGTGAAGCGGCTGAGGCAGAGTTACTACTTCCCCTATGCATTGAGGTGTATTTCGGTGACTTCCACCCTTGCGGGGATCACGAACAAGCATGTGCTTTTCGGCACAGCTCTCGATCAGGTGAGGGAGGGGGGGGGGGTGGGGGAGGTGGAGGTTATGAAGTGATTTTTCACTTCCACCCTTGCGGGGAGGAACACCAACAAGCATGTGCTGTTTGGTACAGCACTTGATCAGGTGAGGGTGGGGGAGGGGGGGTGGGGGAGGTGGGGGGTATGAAGTGATTTTTGACTTCCACCATTGCGGGGAGTATCACCAACAAGCATGTGCTGTTTGGTACAGCACTTGATCAGGTGAGGGATGGGCGAGGGGGGAAAGAAGAATTCAGTCGTCAGACGACTTTTGAGACGTCTCAAATGACTTCCACCCTTGCGGGTATCACAAACAAGCATGTGCTGTTTGGTACAGCACTTGATCAGGTGAGGGGGGCAGGCGATAGTTTGGTGTAGAGTTTATTATAGGCACAGTGTTTTGTAGCGTCCGCTTATTCTTGTCTTGGTGTGCATAGTTTTTGTTGACTCACCTTATTCTCGTCTCCCTCACTCAACACTCTGTCCCGACTTTCTCTTCGTTGGATCTTTCCAGGTCCTGGCTCTCGACCGTCGGTTCCTGGACCCCCGCAGGGTGCCTGAGCCGTCACAGCAGGACAAGGAGGCGGGCATTATGCCGTATAGTGACTCGCTGCCTGCTCCGGGACAGGTAAGCAATACTTTATAACGATTCACCACCTGAGTCGTACTTTGTGGCAAACATGAGTATGAAGCCATGGCAGCAGGACAAGGAGGCGGGCATCACGCCTTACAGCGACTCGCTGCCTGCTCCGGGACAGGTAAGCGAGTCGTATTTTATAGCGAACATTTATTTGAATGCATCACAACAGGACAAGGAGGCGGGCATCATGCCTTACAGTGACTCGCTGCCTGCTCCTGCGCAGGTGGGTGGGGGATGAAGGGTTGGGTGAACTTGTGTGTGTGGGGTGAGTGGAGTGGTGGGCATTACATGCTGCTGCTTATAGAGCATGCTTACATGACAAAGCGGTGGGCATCATGCCTCACAGTGACTCGCTGCCTATGCTTCCCCCATGCCTTCTCCTCCGTTCCCCGTGCTTCCCCTGTGCCTCTTCCCCACAGGCCTACCTCACCCATCGTTACCGCATTGAGGGTCTGAAGCACATTCTCTCCTTCCCCACGCGTCTGGAGTCCACCACCCTCGTGCTTGCACACGGGCTGGACCTCTTCTTTGTTCGCACCGCCCCCTCCCGAGTCTTTGACTCGCTGGGGGAAGACTTCAGCTTCGCGCTGCTGCTGGGGACGATTGCTGTGCTGTCGATCGCGATTGTGGTGACCTGGGGGCTGTCTAGGAAGCAGGAGCTTAAGCAGCGGTGGAAGTGAGGAGAGGATGAGAGAGGTGGGACGCAGGAGGAAGTGTGGGGGAGTTGGGAGTATCGCTGGGGGGAACGGTTGTGGAGGGGTTTATTGATGGGCTGGGAGGGTGGACGGCGGGCATCAGCTTCATTCTGCTGCTCCTGTGCTCTTTATTGCGATCAGAGTAGCTGGGGACTGTAGGGAGCAGGAGCTGGAGCAGAGGTGGAAGTGAAAGGGAATACGGCATGCCAATTGGAATTTGTGACAGGAAAAGTGAGTGTTGGATTTCCCTGGTGGGGGGAGGAGGGGAGAGGAGAGTCATCTCAAAACCCTTACGCACCTTGGAACATTGACTTGAAGACATATCATTAGTAATGTATATGACAACCACTAAAATCGCTCGAAATGGGTGGTCTTGTAGAGAGTCACAGCGTTGACTCGAAGTCAAAGCACCGCTGTCAAAGGTTCGCGGCGAGTTTTCGGGTGGTTGACTTTACTGACTGCCACGTCATTTCGCTCTTCCCGCCAACCACCCCACCATCTTTTGCCTCGAGCTTATTTATTATTATTTTCATTCCTAGTCCATATTTCCCGTTTAGACTAGAGCAACAGAGCTGCTCGCGCTCCGGTATTTTCGCCCTCTTCAATAATCCGCGCAATGGCGTTAGTCCCTTTCCTTAGCCGCCTTAAAGCCATGGTTTCGCCCGCGCGCTCCGAGCCGCCCTTCCCCGTAGAGCGCCTCCCCGACGACGTTCTCGCGCTCGTCCTCCGCGCGCTCTCGCAGACCTCCTTCCGCCACGCGCTCGTTTCCAAGCGCTGGCTCCGCCTTTCCACGGCCGCGCTCTCCCATTTGACCGTTCAGCATCGCGGCTTTAAGACCTTTCTCTTGGAGATACACAATCCAGAGCACTTCCGCAACGCGCAGCTTGCGTGGCTTCCGCTTCCGCACCTCCTTTCCGCGCTCCGCCGCTTCCACGCCCTCACGCACGTGTCGCTGGGCAGCTTTTCCATCTTATCCGCCGACGGCGACGTGCTCTTCCAATGTCTGGCCGCCACGTGTCCGCGACTGCTCTATCTTACTGTCGAGCATCAGTTTAAAATGTCGGTTACTGTAGACGGCCTCGCGTCGCTCTTCCGTGGTTGCCGCAAGCTCAGGGAGCTCTTTCTGCTCACCACCAACGGCCTCCCGCATCTCCCGGCGTCACTCTCGCTCCTAACAGATCTCCAAACCCTCCACGTGTGCTCGAATATTCACTACGGCGAAGACAAGTTACAGGAGCTCGTTTCGCCGCCCGAGAGCATCGGCGCGCTGCAGCAGCTGCGGGAATTGCGGATCAGCGCGGGAGCAAATTTCCGCGGTCTCGATGAGTGCGTGGGCCTTCTGAGCAACCTCCGCACGCTGAGCATCAGTAACCTCTGGTCGGAAACTGTCACGAAGCTTCCTGACGCGATTGGCGACTTGGCTCTGCTGGAAACCCTAGAAATCGATCTGGTTGGGCTCGAGAGCATTCCGGAATCCTTTCAACTGCTGACCAGTCTGAAAACCCTCTCGCTCCAATCAAAACGTCTGCGATGCTTGCCAGGATATGTTATGGTGGGGCTGACTCAGCTGCAGCAAATTTCCATCAACGGCTGTGATTCCCTCGAGATTCTCCCAGAAAGCATCTGCTTCCTCCCCCTCTCCTCCCTCTCCATCTCCTACTGCCGCTACCTGACCTCCCTCCCTCACCACATCGGCGCCTTGTCCCATCTGGAAACCCTAAATCTCCTCGACCTTGAGAATATCCAGGTGCTGCCCGAAAGCCTGGGTAATTTACCCCGGTTGAAAACGCTCGAGCTGGATCTGCCTGCACTAGAGCGTCTGCCCGAGAAATTCTGTGAAGGCAGCCTGCCAGCATGCCTGGAAAAGCTGAGTCTGTCGCGGTGCGAGAAGCTACAGGAGCTTCCTCCCTCACTGTACACGCTGACTCGTCTAGAATCACTCCATATCGAGTTATGCTCCCTTATAGAGTCCCTGAAGCCGCTGATCCCTCCACACCCCCCTGACGGCTCCGAAAGAAAGTCAGAATCGTTCAGTCCGGTTGAAATGGTGATTACGGCTGTACTCTGCACTGCTGCAGTCTTTGCCGCAATGCTGCTGATCTCCATACCGCTCCTCACCGTGCAAGAGATCATAGCACCGGCCTCCACCGCACTGGGCGTCCGACCTCCGGTGATGCTTGTCCCTGCTGCGCTGCTCGCTTCCGCTGCGGCAAGCAGCAACAACGTCGGCGCAATCCTTGGGTCGCTGCTCCTTGCAGTGGTGGTTCTGCTGGTGTCTCTGGTCCCCGATGCCTGGCTCAATCCTGCCATGCTGCTTGCTGCCGCACTGCTGGTCTCCTCCGTTTTATATGCCGGCGCCTCTGCTCCTGCCGCTGCGCCTGCCTCTGCCTCTGCCTCTGCCTCTGCCCCTGCCTCTGCCTCTGCCTCTCCCCCTGCCTCTGCCTCGCTCTTTGCTTCTGCAGAAAATGCCACCGAACAACAACCAGAGCCAGGTTCTGCCTCTGCCTCTGCCTCTGCCTCTGCCTCTGCCTCTGCCTCTGCCTCTGCCTCTGCCTCTGCCTCTGCCTCTGCCTGTGTATCCATCCCTCTCTTAGACTCTACACCAAACATCACCGCGCAACACCCGGGCCTAGTATCCCTCACCGAGTTAAAAGTTTCCTACTGCCCGCTCATCGCTTCCCTCCCAGAAAACTTTTATTTCCCTGCCCTTCACACGCTCACCCTACACTCCCTGGGCAACCTGGAAAATCTCCTGGACCTATCCAGCAAGCAACTGCCCAAACTGCAACATCTGCATTTGGAGGGGGTGGGGGCCGATTCAGCCCTGTCTCCGATTGACTGCATTCCTGGAGTGCGGAAGGGGAGAATGTGGCTTATGCTGCATGCCAAGCCTCTGTTTCTGCTTCTGAGGCTGCTGGATTTACTGCTGCAGCTGGTTCTGTTGGGGGTATTGAATGGCTGTTGGGTGCTGCGGGGTGCCTGCAGTTGGTCGGCTGGCCTTGCACGGCGATCGTGCAGGTTCGCGTACGAATGGTGTGTTGGGGGGGTGGAAGAGAGCAACCCGCTTGTTACCGGTATGAGTCGTGACTCCGTATGATGCGGGCGGTGGATTTCCTGTTTCTCTGCAGCCGGTTTTGAGGCGCCTCAAAACTACGCTTGTTGTCGGTATGAGTCATAACAACTCCATATGATGCGGGCGGTGGTTTCACTGCTTCTCTGCAGCTGGCTCTGTTGTGGATGTGGAAGGGCTGTTGGGTGCTGCAGGGAGTCTGCACTTGGTCGGCTGGCCTTGCACGGCGATCGTTCAGGGTAGTGTGCAGGTGGTGTGTTGGGGAGGTGGAAGAGAGCAACCCGCTTGTTGCGACTGATGACTCGGTGTGATGCGGGCGGTGGAATTACTGCTGCTGCTGGCATTGCTGTGGATGTGGAATGGCTGTTCAGCAATTTCCTGCCTCTGCATGATGCGACTCGTGCGACTGGTGTCTCGGTGTAATGCGCGCGGTGGATTTACCGCTGCTCTGCAGCTGGCTGGAGCGGTGGATATGGAGGGGCTGTTCACTGCCTCTGCATGATGCGACTCGTGGGACTCGTGACTCGGTGTGATGCGGGCGGTGAATCTACTGCTGCGCTGCAGCTGGCTGGGGTGGTAGTTTACTGCTGCAGGCTGCTCTGTTTTGGATATGGAAAGGCTGTTGGGTGCTGCAGGGTGTCTGCACTTGGTTGGCTGGGCTTGCATGGCGATCCTGCAGGGTAGCGTACAGGTGGTGTGCCGGGGAGGTGGTGGAAGAGAGCAGCCCTCTTGTTGTAAGTCATGATAACTCATAATGATTGTAGGTGTGTTGTACAGCTTAGCGTACAGGCCGGTGTGGTGTAGGAGGTTGTAGATACGGTAGAAACCTGCTTGTCACAACAACCCTTTTGTAATTGATTGTGATTTATTCGATTAATTATGCTTGCCTTTCTTCCAAAGGGATTTGGTACATGTGCTGCAAGGGGGTTTCACTGATAGGGTGTGATGATGGCACGTACAACTTTCACTCTAGAGATTTAACTCTCAAAAGTGACACAAGTACAGCCTTTACCAGTAATCTTGCCAACTCTTCAAAGCGACACAAGTACCGTACTACATGAACCTCAGAAGCCTCCAGGGCTATGTGCAACCGCAACCACCATGGTACATGCGTAGAGAACATGCGAGTGGTGTCCAGACGTACACAAGCACGAGCACCGCAGAGGCCTCCAGGGTTGTTACCAGTCCCAACCTTCGGGGAAACTGCAGAGAGGACGTGCGAGTGGGTCACTGCACGACAATAGGTGTTGCAGCAACTGTAGCTGATGCCGACACAGGCTTGGAAGCAGGCACAGCAGCAGGAGATGTAGCAGCAGCAGAAGCAGCACCAGCAGCAATTGACGTAGCAGCAACGGAAGCAATATCATTAGGTGTGGGCCGGGGCAGGTAGCCGACGTGGTGCAGAGCGTCTTTAAGTGCTCGCAGCACGAGTGCTATGTTGGCCGGACGAGCGTTGTTGCCCATTATGCCAATTCGCCACACCTGATAGGCGACAGGGGAGGAAAGGCGGAGATGGAAGGAGGGTTGGAGGGGGAAACGGAGGGGGGAAGGAGGGGAAATGGTGGGTGAATGGAGGGGGCAGGAAGCCGACGTGGTGCAGAGCGTCCTTAAGAGCTCGCAGCACGAGAGCTATGTTGGCCGGACGAGCGTTGTTGCCCATTATGCCTATTCGCCACACCTGAGAGGAGGGGGAGGAGAGGGGAGATGGAGGGGAAATGGAGGGTGAATGGCAGAGGCAGAGCAGAGGCAGGAAGCCAACATGGTGCAGAGCGTCTCTGAGTGCTCGCAGCACGAGAGCTATGTTGGCCGGACGAGCGTTGTTGCCCATTATGCCAATTCGCCACACCTGAGAGGAGAGGGAGGAAGGGAGAACGGGGCAGGACAAAGTGCAATGGATGGGGATTGGCAAAAAATCACGTGGAATGTCAAGCGGCCATTTAGTCCCACTCATTCATGCGCTCATTCCCTCACTCATTCGTGAGCGTGCGCGCGCACACACACACACACACACACACACACACACACACACACACACACACACACGCATTCCCTCATTCTCACACAATTTACTCCTGTAGTTCACCCCACACATGTTTTCCCACTCTCAAACACATTCTCACCCTCTCCCACTCACCATGCCAACGGTGGGCCCCAGCCCTCCAGCAATCTCGAGGTTGTATTTCTCCATGAGGTAAGCCGTCACGTGCGCGGCTGCGCCCACTGCACCCTCTCGCACAACCACCCTCAATAATCCATCCCCCACCCCCATACTCTCACAGTCATATAACCTCGTACCCTCATTCACTCACCATGCCAACGGTGGGTCCCAGCCCTCCAGCAATCTCGAGGTTGTATTTCTCCATGAGGTAAGCCGTCACCTGCGCCCACTGCACCCCCTCTCATTCATACTAACATCGGCAAAAAATCAGTTCCCTGCCCCACTAGCACCCGCAGTTTCTCACTCCATCATTCACTCACCATGCCAACGGTGGGTCCCAGCCCCCCGGCAATCTCGAGGTTGTATTTCTCCATGAGGTAAGCCGTCACGTGCGCCCACTGCACGCCCTCGGGCACCTTGATGGTTGTCACGGTGGGCAGGCGGATGGCGGGGTCCTTCACGAATAGCTCTAGGCCAAGCTGGTGGGTGGAGGAGGAGAGGAGGGACGAGGGGCGGGGGGTTGGGGTGTGGGGGTCAGACTAGAGGGTGAGGGAGGTGTTAATATGAGGGAAGGCAAGGAGGAGGAAGGTCGGTAGCTGCTTCGATGGTAAGACGTCACCTGCGCCCACTGCACCCCCTGTGCAGCTCTATACCTTGATGGCCACAGCGCCATACCAGCGCTACTCAAATAGTTACTCTCCCTTGCTCAATTCCTTGAGACCAGCACAAAGCAGATCAGCCAAGGGTTTTGTTGTCAAGACTAGTGAAGTACAGAAGCTACTAGCCCTGTCCCTCTCGCTCACCTCCTCGATACCAGCGCAGAGCTTGTCAGCCAGCGATTGGTGGCGGTGCCACACGCTCTCCAGTCCCTCGTCCACCACCAAAGCTAGTGCCTCCCTGATGGCCATGATGTTGCTGCCGATCGCTGTATTGGGATCGAATGGAATGGGTGGAAAGGAGCAGGAAAACTGGTGAGTATATCCTTCGGTGGTGCCACATGCTCTCTAGCCCCTCATCCACCACCGAAGCTAGTGCCTCCCTGATGGCCATGATGTTGCTGCCGATCGCTGCATTGGGATCGAATGGAATGGGTGGAAAGGAGCAGGAAAACTGGTGAGTATATCCTTCGGTGGTGCCACACGCTCTCTAGCCCCTCATCCACCACCAAAGCTAGCGCCTCCCCGATAGCCATTATGTTGCTGCCGATCGCTGCATTGGGATCGAATGGAATGGGTGGAAAGGAGCAGGAAAACTGGTGAGTATACCCTTCGGTGATGCCACACACTCTCCAGCCCTTCATCCACCACCGAAGCTAGCGTCTCCCTGATAGCCATTATGTTGCTGCCGATTGCTGCATTGAGATCCAAGGCAACGAGGGGAACAGGTGCAAGGATCGTTGATTCACGGACTAGTGGGACAGGACAGCTGTCAGAGAAGTGCCTCCCTGATGATCATTATGTTGCTACCGATTGCTGCATTGAGATCCAAGGCAACGAGGGGAACAGGTGCAAGGATCGTTGATTCACAGACTAGTGGGACAGGACAGCTGTCAGAGCAGTGCCTCCCTGATGATCATTATGTTGCCGCCGATTGCTGCATTGAGATCGAGGCAATTGGGGAAATCAGCAGGTCAGATGGTGAAGCTAACATTCTAGAACTCAAGCAGATTATACTCTGATGTTGGCTATGGCCGCTCTAGGATCAATGGTGAAGGATAGAGGCAAATCATGAGGGTTATGTGCCGCTACTTACATGTGTGATGGTACACATGTGGTTTGCCATCAACGCCCCAAAAAGCTCCGGCCTGTAACATGACAAGTATGCAAACATGAATTCAAGAGTTCATTGCGTGAGAGGATGCATCCAAACAAGGTAATTAGTTAAGGTGCTATGAAATAGCAATAACCATAGGACGTTGGAAACCACATAGGGTGTCTTACCACGTTCATATCGAAGTAGTATGTTTGGATATGGTGCGCCTTGCTTTTGAGCTTCTGTCTTGCACGCTCATTCATGGAGAATGGCGATGGTGATACAAGCGATGATAAACACTTTTGAGACCTGAAACCGAAACAAATACAAACAAAAACACAAATAAATCCATGCTTACAGCCTCATTTGAAGTGGATCACATCACATTAGACTGAGAAGAAAATTGTCATTTGACCTTTGTTCAATAACAGTGTACCACGTACCCGCTGTAACACACATCGATATCCCACTGGTCCATCAAAACAGGCACCCCTCCCACCGTGCAAATCGCATCCACCACCAGCAGCGCACCTGGCGGCGAGGAAAGAGGACATAACAGGGGAAATTCGGGGGAAACGTTGACGAGCTTTTTCAGATCTGGCGTTTGCGCGCGGAGGCACGCGGGATGGCCCGTCCCCCGCAGCTGCAAATAGTAGGCAGGAACTCCAGGATAGGGGTCTCATTCCAAATCCCTAATTTCTCCTAAGCGCGCTGTCGAGGCGTCTTCGCCGCGAAACTGCTGCTTCACGCGGCATTAGATCGAATTACATGTTCAGGCGCCTCAAGAATGGCACGTTGAGATATTCAAAATGATCGCAAGTCCCCAAAACTTACGTCACAAACAGACGCGTTACAGGACGACTCGTTTCAAGCGCATCCACTCATCGTGCTTGTGGCAGAGCTCTCCCAATCCTTCCAGCGGCCTGCAGCGTCCCCGTGCTCGACTCGCCATGCACCACTAACACCACCTACACAAGCAGACCCATCCTCGTGAGAAGCAGAGACGTTCCATCCACTCACCGTGCTTATGATAGAGCTCGCCCAACCCCTCAGGCGGCTGCTTCAAGGCCATGCTCTCACCATTCTTAGGGCAAAGCTCCCCCAGCCCTTCCAGCGGCGCTCGACTCGCCGTGCACCACAAACACCACCTTCACAAGCAGACCCATCCTCGTGAGAAGCAGAGACGTTCCATCCACTCACCGTGCGTATGGCAAAGCTCCCCCAATCCTTCCAGCGGCTGCAGCGTGCCCGTGCTCGACTCGCCATGTACCACAAACATCGCCGCGACTCCCGGGTTCGCCTCGAGCGCGCGCGCGAAGTCGGAGAGGGAAAACACCTCCCCAGAGGCGCCTGGATCGTTCGCACGTCGCCGCCGTGTCGCCGCGCGAGCAGCGCCATTCGCTCGCCCCACATGCCGTTCACCGCGACCAGCACGACATCGCCAGGAGCCACAACCTGAGGTGTGACAATAGCGAGATGAGAAAAGCAGGGATGAGCTGTTAGCGAGGCTGTGTTTGAACAAAACCTGACAAGGGTTGGGGAGGATTTGCGAAAACTGGGGAAGTTGGATTGAGAGTTCACTCACGGCATTGACTGCGGCTTCCATGGCGGCGTGGCCGGAGCCGCTGACGCCGAGCGTGAACCGATTGCGCGTCTGAAAGACGTACTTGAGCCACTCGCGCACGTCATCCACCGCACCGAGCAGCGACGGGTGCATCTGTATGTGATACAGTGAGGCGGGGAACAGGGGGGGTGCGTTTTGAAGCGGGCGCGCGTCTGATAGACGTACTTGAGCCACTTCCGCACGTCGTCCACGCGCTAGCAGCACAGGGTGCATCTGTACGCGATACAAAGCACGGCGGGTTCGGGAGGGGCCTCTGCACTCGATACAAGCAGGTGGGATACAATATAATATTACAACGATGCGGTGTGGATGAACGAGGAAGGTGAAAGGTGGAGGTAGTTTACAAGGGAAGGGCAGAGGGAGAGGGGAGCATTCCAGGATAAGAGAGTTGCTCGACAGACTTGAAGCTCACGAGCCAAGATATTGAAGTCCTACGCATGGACCTGTCAGGCCTAACAAGAACCATGCTTACATGGCCAACAAGGGGCGAACCAGCAGCAGCGAGGACACGTGGGTGGGGAGACGATGGGCCAGGGCCTGTGGGGGAAGCAAGAGAGGAGAGGTAGAAGGGTGAGAGGTGAGGGGACGGGGGAAAGTGCAACTAACCGTCGACTCAACTCTCACTCGTCAGCAGTCACTCATTCACGAGCACTCACTCACTAAATCACACGCACTCACTCAATCATTCATGATTACTCACTCATTCATGAGCACTCACTCACTCACGTGAAGGAACGCAACTCACTCATGAGCAGCAGGTTGGGAAGAGGCGTGGTGGGGATGCTCGGCCTCTCAACCCTCGTCCACTCGTGAATCTCGGCCACTCATTCATGAGCACTACCTGACTCTCAACACTCCCGTGGACAAGAAACCGACTCACTCATCAGCAGCAGGTTGGGGAGCGTCAGAGGCGTGGTGGAGATGCTTGGCCTCTCAACCCTTATCGAAGCGGCCGTTGCGGAAGCAACCAAAGGAGCCATGGCGATTGCAGCGGAAGCTGGGTTCTTGAGGCGTCTTAGGTCTCAAGAAGGAGTGAAGTGCAGCGCGGCACGAGGACCACCCAACACAGGAGGCAGCAGAGCGAGGATAGCGAGAGCTAAATCCACGTCTGGAGCGAGTATAACGAGTTCTCAACCAGTCTATTTACAATATTCACAGTCCCGTCGGGTAGCGGTTAGCGTAGGAGGTGCAGCGGGAAACTACCAGCAGTGCACCTTGGAGTCTCGGCTTGAACGACAACAGATCTGCTGGAGAGGAGAGATGCAGAGCGGAACACGAAGTTGTCGAGGAAAGATCCGGAGTGGAGAGGAGAAGGGACTTGCTGAGGTGTATACTACTCGAAGAGGCGATGGTGGAGGAGAAGGCGAATTTGAAGCCACTCGTCGGGAACGAATGAACGCGATGCTGAGATGGTGAGGTGGTGTAACTGCAACCGTGTAAGCACTTGTGGAGATTACTCTGCTGAGTCAAGCTGACTACGCTGCGGCAATCTTGATTCACTACTACGGAAATGCTTGGGATGCGATGAATCTATCCCCCGGCCGAACGGGAACGGAGGCTAGTGAGGGGACGGAGCCGAGGGTGACGGAGGATTCTGGTAGGAATGAGTCAGACACGGAGTGCCGACGGCGTTGACGGAGGGCTCTTCTGGAAAGCAGATTTTCTACCACGTCAGCAGCTCCGCTAATATGGCCGAAATTGGCGGCGCGTGGGTATCGTCTCGTCCTCAGGCGTCAAGGCACGGAAGGGAGGCTCTTGGAAGTAGGTGAGCTGGTGGCGTTCCCGACTATCTTCTTCCGGGATACCTACTAGCTGACGTCAGCAAAATATGTACACAGCTGCGAAAAGGACGCGTGCGATATATACACCGTTATGTACAGTGTCAGGAGCCGAGAGCTGTGACGCGCTGGCACTGGGAGCGTCTTCTGCACTAGCAAGGGAGAGTAACTATACACAGCACAGCGCGTGTCAGAAGGGAAACTGGACTTATGCTGCTGGGCGTTTGGAAGGGAAGTTGCGGTCGAAGTTATCGAGGTGGTTGGTCGGAATGAGAGACGGAAATTGCTGCACAGCTCAGTGGTACTTCGTCGACTTGGAAAGGCTTCGCTTTATGTACTTTCTGACTTGGACCCAGCGAGGCCTCGGTCGGTCGCGTCGCGTGTAATACGAAGCACTCGTTCCCGCGCAATGATTTGAAAGTTCGAGCCGCGCCTCGGATCCAGGAACTCTAATTTGTTGAATCCCTTACGTGGAGTCCTTTAGGTTGTCGGTTGGAGCAAAGAATGTGGTCCGCGTTTGATGCACGGAACAGCTCAGCACGGACAGCAGTTCCCGAATCCCAATACTTGAGCTTTCGAGGTATGTATTTTCAAGGTTTGAGCCCCCAGGTTCGCGTGAGTTCTCCAGCTCTAGTGAGTTTCCGAGGTTCGAGCTTTCGAGATAGAAGTGAGGAGAGAAACAGCCCCCTAACCTCTTTGACTCGTCTACTTGTCTGGTGGAGGAAGAAATCTGGGAGGATGCAATGTTTCCAACGGGGACGAAATCGACTGGACGCGCGACTCGGACCAGGTCGCTTGATTCGCGACGGGAACATGTCGTGATTTGTTGAGGAGAAGGATTAGCGAACGAGAAGGTAGTCACTGCGAATGGCAGAAATCGCT